AGGACGCGGAGTTTGACCAATCATTGGCCCACAGCCATCCAGAAGCGTTGAATGCTGCTCAACACGGTGTAGTAGAGATGTTGGTGAGTCTTCAACAATCCGTTTTTTCTTTAATATTTCTCTATTTGGCTTTCTCTGATGGTTCCTCGTTTCTTCATTTGAGTAGGCCATTGGAGTTTCAGCCGCTATTCAGGAAGAACACACGCAGCTTATGATCAAGTACGGTCATACCAACATTGGTGGCAGGGAGCGCATGGGTATCATCAAATCAGACAATGATACCAAGGCAATTTACTTGTCCCATTCTTTGTGTGAGACGTGGGCAAGCGATATTGTAAGTTTTTTCTATCTTTACATGTTGATTTCACAAAATCATACAGCTCAACTCCGTTTGGATTGTCTTGACTCAGGTTCATAACCGTTTTGGAGCTACACCAATCATCCCACCTCAATGTATTGAGTTCAAATGGGTTGAAATCAAACCTGTGAATCCAAAGCCTCGAAAGAATTCAGCACCATCTCGTTCTAATACTACGCCCTCAACATCACAAAACTCCATGGTCTCACTCGGCAACGGGTTGTTCTCGTTCAATAACAACAACCAGGGCCCAGTACCTCGAAGCGAATCAAATTCTCCGGCACCAATACCACCCAAAGGCTTCGAAGATTACCTCAAGTTTTGCACAATTAGTCCAGACAATCAAACCACTCAAGGCCTACTTACAAAGTACTACATCAGTGACTTTGAAATGTTTGAATCCACCGAGCTCACTGTTGCAAAAATGGAGGTATTGGGTTTTCCGTTTGGTACTCGTATCCGCCTCCATGACAAAGTTGCCGCTTATCAAAAGGATATCAAGAGAAGAGCTAGAGCAGCTAGAGCATATCAATAGCCTCATCTCTTGTATCATCAAAAAAATGTATTGACTACCCTGTAAACCAGTGTTACCATGATGTAGCTACAGTATTATACTCAAGAATATTCTTATTAATAAACATCTGTTTGTAGTTTGAGATGTGTTGTGTTTGATGTTTGAGACTGTCTGTAATGAAAATTTTATTCAGTGAATCCCTTGATGCTTCACAGACAAGTCCCAACTCTGAAGTGAGATTTCTTTGTAGCAAGATTTTATTGTTACTTTCCACTCAAAGCAAGAAAAAAGAAACTTGTGAAATATTCTTGAAACATCAAGGAATCTCACAATACACAAGAAATTGCTATGAAAAAACTTCATTGCTTTGACTATTGTTGAGACAAAAACCATGTTGATTACAATCTTTTAACAACACTGTCTTCTCATGAAACAACTTTATAATGAAACTATTTTACAACTTCTCATTCATCATGTGGTCTGTAACCGCAGGTTTTGTATAAGCTCATAATGAAATTTGGTGTGCATACATTAGACAGAACCATCCTAAGGCACCTCAACTTATCAACAGCCTGACCAAGAAGGCCATTTCGGCGAAGAGAATCCTTGAAAACATCAAAGGTTCGCTCAATTGGGTTGAACTCGGGTGTGCATGGTGGTAGATATACTAAAATAACTCCCGCTTCCTCGCACATTTCCGCAATCACCCCACGGTGATGAATAGGAGCATTATCCATTACTAAAACCGAGTTTTGATTTGGGTATGGCTGCATGACAGGCAGCTGGAACAAACTTATTGTCAGCTCCTTGATATCAGGCAGATTCAAAAGAAATAGAAACGACAGACAGATACAAAGGAAATAGAAATAACTTACTAAAATATGCTTCAAAAACGCTTCAAATTTGTGTCAACGATAAGCGTTGACCTTTGCATTAACTGCCAAGAGACCCATCTCGCAGATAGCAGCTAGAACGCTGTACGCTGTAATGAATCCCGTGTCTCGTCCGTTTTAAAGCCTTAGGTCGTTGGCCTTTTTTGGACCAAACATGATCACATTGCACATCTGGCAATTTTAAACCAGTGTCATCTTAGTAAACATGAAGAGCAACAATACACATCAGTATCATGTCTTCCAATAGAAAGAAAAGAAGGAGGACTGACCTAAAAACACTAAATACTGGGGTGGGATATGGGCAATATTACCAGAGTATCTCGCTTGTAAAACAGGTGACTGGTTGGGATCGACTTTTGGGGCTTTATGAACAGTGAGGAAAAGGCATTCCTTGAGGTCATTGGCAATGGTTTTTCAACAAGCCAGGCAATCGGTGTGGTTGTACATGGCGGCTTGAATCTTGTTGATGAAAAGGGTTGGTTTGTTATCAATGAGTTCAAGCATGAACACTCGATCCTCGACAGAATAAAGTGTTGCACGGCCTTGTTGTTTGTAGGTTGCAGGATTGCGGACAACAGCATGAGTATGGTTGAATAAAGCGTTCCATCGATGGAATGATTTGTCTGATATCGTGGTGAAGAGCTCGATGTTGATTGATTTGACGGATTGTCCAGATCGAAATTTGGTCAGCGCGATGATTTTGACTTGGGGACTGTACAAGACAAACCCCATTGCAGAAGCAAATGGACAGAGTATGCGAAAGTGATTGAGAACAATATGAGGAAGGATGTGGTGGTGGGTGAATGACTGGAAGACTGACACGGCAGGTTAAACACCCTGCCGCGTTTGAAGGCTATGCTTATATTTTTACCTGTATACAAGTAAAAATAAAAATAAAAAATCTCGACCGGCCAAGCTAATCTAGCTTGACTGTACTTGTTACGTATGAATGCTTGTACTATGTGGATATATAAGCCTCCTAGAGCCACGAGAGGAAATGGTTCTCTTTCTTCACCCTGTCCAAAATCTATCTCATGCGCTCTAGGTAAGCTTTATCTATCACTCACTATTTTGTTTCTTTTGTATGAAATGCTTGTTCACCCTTTCCAAAATCTATCTTGTGCGCTCTAGTTGATCGCAACAGTTAGAAGTTCTACACCAGATAGACATTTCTTTTTACAAAATGCAACATTTGCTTGTAGCATTTCACACTATAGTAAGAGGCCAACCTGACAATAACCTTTAAGCCCACTGCAGGGCTTTGAGAACAGTTTTAACAAATTGTAATATGGCCATTTTGCTAAGTTTGTGTTGAAAGTCACATGTAAGAGGGATGGAAGAGCATAAAATTGTGTGTATACATCCAAAACACCAAAAGAAGGTTTATTTTCCAGATGATGGCACCTTATTTTGAACACAGGATGATTCTCCCACTTGAGAAGATGTTGAGACCAACTATCACCAGTGTAGATACGGACCACAATTTGAGATGCAAATGAAAGATCATTCAATGGATTGACAGAGCATTTACCCACCTCTGTCACTGCAAACATTATTCAACTTCCCCAAGTGGGCAGGAAAAAATGATTGGGAGTATTATTTGTCATAAAATCACTCCAAACCTGAGCCATAACAACCACACTACATATGTGTACCAGGCTAAGTGAATTGGTGGTTATCATGTACATACAGTTATTCTCAGTTATCTGCTCATCAGGATAAATTATTCATATGTAATACATGTTGTAACTTGTTTCAGATTGACAAAAGCATTTAGAAGATTGACTACATACACTGACTCAGTGTTTTGGTGTAATCTCATCAACTCAACTGCATGTAACACCCTTTCTGTGACTAAGAAATAACTTCAACAATATTGCCTGAGCAGCTACATAATTATAAATATGTAGTGAATTTTTGGGACAATTTTTTCAAAGTCAAAAAAGTTACATGTGGTATAACATGTGCTTTATTTATTCTGATGGGCAAAAACCTGAGCAGACCTGTATGTACATGATAGACAACTGTTTACTTAGCTTGCTGCACATATGTAGTGTGGGTTTTATGGCTCAGTTGTGCAGTATTGGATCCTTTTATGACAAACTGTACTATTATTCATTTTACTCTTCCAACTTGGGGAAGTTGAATGATGTTCACAGTGTGTGTTCTGTTTGCTTGCCTATATGAGTTTTTGCAATGAAGCAAGAAATGTACCAAGGTTTCCAGACATCAATATTTATTGCAGTTCCCAGGTGGATGATGTCCAACTTGTTGCAGGTATTGGTTAAGCGGGGTGGGGCCTGATTCTAAAGACAAAATTTTGATTGTAAATGATGAGCATACTTCTAGGAAATATCAAGAGCCTATGTACCTACTCTAAATACTTCATAGCTTGCACTATGGCTACTACGGCGGCCCTGTATGAAGTCAATGAATACATATGGATCCCAAATGCACAAGATGTATGCATGCAGTTCCACCACAGTTCTGTAATTTTGCATGAGATTCTTCAACACAAAGAATGTGTTACTTGCCGGTTTGTGTATGACATGATAGGTCTTGAAGAAAGTCTTCATTTGATTTTTCAAAATGCATACATTTTCCAGATTCTGTTTTGGAGGTCTGACACACAAAAAAGGCAAGAATTCTTGCTTGACAACTGTACTAGAAATCATGCTGAAGAAATGTCATTACAATTCTCATCTCAAGAATACCAACAGTGGTGCTGAGGTGCTGAGGTTAATGTGTCTCCTGCACTTGATAATCCACAATCAGCTTCTCCTACAATTTATAACACCTACCAATCCATCACACGTTCTGAGTTCTTACAACAACCAACCAACTTTTTCTTTACTCTTCACCACTTTACTCAATCAAAACTAACAGTCTATCAAGCCTCTCATCTCCCTAAGTTTACATCTAACAAGTCTTTGTCATGAACTCTGATAATACTATGAAATCTGATGATACAAACCATCCCAATATCCATTCAACTTCCAATGACATAGAGGATGTTGACAAATCTGATGAAAATAAAGCCTTGTATGTATTCTTTTTCTTACATCTCAATCTTTACTTGACATAAGCAATCCTCATTTCAATCATCATCTTCTGTTAATTAGTATTCCTCAGCCATCTCAACCTCCCAGACCCAAAGTCCAATTCTTGTGCCCATCGACGAAAGTTACAGACATTAGATTATCAGAACAGAAAGGACGGAAGTTAGAAAACCAACATGTTTGGACCCTCATTTTTGGCTAATTCAAATTTCCTCAATGGTACTTTGACTCAAGCTCCAGATTCTTCACAGGGTACATTACACCATACACCTTACAAAAATTTCACCACCCCTGCTTCTTATTTATTAGCAAATAGGTGGCTATTTTTACCAACTTCACCAGCTCCATTGGAAGATGATTACATTTGTCCAGAATCTGTTAAACTCAGGCTAGAGGAAGATGTAACTGATATGAAGAAGGAAAAGGATGAATTATTGACAGATGTAGAACTATTTGAAGCTTGTGAATTTATCATCAAATGGGTAGTTCAAAAATCTGGATCTGATGAATTAGTTGAATTTATTATGGAAAAAAATGATTGACTTTACTGAATTTTATAATTATATTGGTGATGACTGATCTATGGCCATATGTTATCTTAGCTGAACCTGTTCCATGTATCTTTGTTATATTTTATGAACGCTTCCAATTCAGAATATTGTGTTGAATTTCATTCATTTTGGGTCATTTGACTTCTATCTACTGCTTGATCATTACCATCTGTTCTCTTCTTATCATCATCTTCCGGAAATATGATTGTTGAACTGTTGATATGACTATGTATATGAATTAGAATTGGGAATGAATTTAAATCGTAACAATGAAACCTGGTTCACTTGATATAAAAGTGTATATGTATCACGCCTGACCCTCTTTGACATTTGACTGTAGCAGTCTTACAATTCCTTTGACAATCCTTCATGAATGACCTAATCATTATATACCACCGATGAAAATTTAAGACCTACCTTGAAGCTGGGGGGTCCGGCCAAAGTTAAGAATACGGTTAGTGTCAGAGCCTGTTCCCAATTTAGACATACCTTACCTTCTACCAAGGTTCTTCTTACCGGCTCCGAGTTTTGTGATGGAGTTACAAGAATTCCCGAATCAATGATTATGGCTGGCTCTTGACAAGACATAAAGTAGAATGTATACAGATATAGAATATCAGATAACTTTGTTATGGAGAGTATCAAGATGAATCAAGCTGAAAGACGCTGCCACATATTCTCTTCCGTAAGTCTATCTCTAGCCTTTACTGTGAGCTCCGACCTTTTCATTGAGCTCTAAGACACTTTCAAGTCTTGATCTCGTGCATTTGTTTCAGTTATTGATGCATGATGGAGAAAGCAACTTTGATCTAATACCAACATGTTGTCAATCAAAGATGAAATTTTACATTTCGTGTTCAAAATGATAACATTTCAGCACTGACACTGACACCACAGGACAGCTCTTGAGGAAAGTCTCGATATATTTATAAGTGTTTGAAACCTTTGGAAAATCACGTTAGAATCACTACATACCCACTTCATGGAGTTGATTGTCAAGGGACGACATGCAATTTTCGAACATCGTACTGCGGTATAGTAAATGTGCACAGATATGCACAAATTTTGTTTATGCTGCATGCGATGCGATTCTTCAGCGCAAAGAATCGGGGAGGAGTGTCGCTCAGCGCGCCTTTGATAGAAATAATGCTGAAGAAATGATATTACACATCAAAAAAATGCAAGAGTGATGCTGAGGTGTTGAAGCCTGTACACAAAAATCCGTCATCAGCATCTTTCATAATATTTAACACCAACCAACTCATCCCATTTTGTCTTTCTTTCCACAAACCAACCAAAGTTTCCGACGCTGTTCCACACTTTACAACATCAAATCCAACAGTCCATTGATCACACCTCTCATCTCCCTGAGTTTACATCCAACAGATCTTCGAGATGAATTCTGATGGTCTCATGAAGTCTGATGACTTAAATGATACAAAGATCGATCCAATTCCTGGGGATGAAAAGGATATCAAGAAATTTATCGGGTATGTAATCTTTCTTCCTATCTCTCAATTCTCTCTCGATAGAAGTACAGGATCATTTCATTTCACTTACTTTTTCCAATCACTCTTCTTATCTCTTCAAAGTCCTCCCACCCCTTGTTTCCAGCGCAAACTCAAGTTCTTATCACCATCAACCAAGGTTGCAGATGTTCATTCAGCAGAAAAGGAAGGAAGAACTTTAAAGAACAGACGGATATCAACCCTGATGCTTCCAGATATACCCCGCAAACATGTTCCAAAAGGTACTTCCAGTCGAGTCTCGGAAGCTGCAACTGGTACCTTGATTCGAACCCCTTACACTGAATGCAAGAATCCTGCAATCTGGTTATCTTCAAGCCGATGGGCATTCTTACCCAAGTCACAGTCGGAATTAGATAAAGGTTACACATGTCCAGAAGGTGTTAGAATAACACTTGGAGAAGATATTGCCAAACTGAAGAATCGGCAAATCAATGTTTTAACAAATAGCGACTTGTTGGAGTTTCATGAATACTTGAACGAATTGGCTGCTCGAAAAGCTAAATCTGCTCAATCCAAGATTTCAGGGTATGTATCTTTTAATCCTTAAATTCTTGCTCGTCCCTCATTATCTTGCCTCATAAAATTACAACTTACACTCTTCGATCATCTTCGTTTTTTTGTTTCTTTCAACAGGTCCTCCTCACTTACCGGCGCGAAAAAATATTGGAATCGAATGCGATCAAAATCTTGATGAATTTGATTATGACATGATATGAAGAGGATTTCTTCAACTTTCTCCTTGTATAACAGATGAATCATAAAAAGACATAAAACTCTCAATTTTTATTCAAGTCCTTTTTGATCTCTACCCTCTATTTCCTCGTCCAATAGAAGAACTCCTTCATGTTAACTTTATCCAATATAAGTCCTATTACATGTACCAACTGCTTGAATACCTATGTATTCTCCTTCCGTAGTCCTCTTTCAGGAATGTCTATGTCCATTACCTACTTGGCCAATTCAAACAATGAGTAATGCTGGATTGTAAAACTAGATTTACTCGATACAAAAGTGTGCCTCTGAGCCTTGGTTGAATTGATTTCTCCCATTTTGCACCAATCTCAAAGAGAATCTTCTACTTTTTGTCAATGAGCCTTAAATCCCCGTACCAACTACACACTTGACATAGAATGCATAGAGGGGTCCACAAAATGTTTCCTTTGTATAAATAGACTCACAAAGAATACTGAAAAGCATCATGATCTTGAGTTCCAAATGAATCAATTTTGTTGCTGATTTTCCATTTGCCTCTCCTTCAAGAGCCCCACGCAAGACCTGCTTGGCTGATTAGGCAGAAGCCTCGATAGCTTTACGCCTTGCTTCACAGGATGGCAGGGCCGAGGCCACTGACTGTGAAACGGAAGTTGATGAACGGACCGGGGCACGGGTGAGTCCGCACAACCGGGCATGAGCGGCCCTGGCTTCGCTTCCGCCGCTTGGGGCCCGGGAGGCGAGGCGTGCGGCGCCCTTTCGTCATCAGTTGAGATTCGAGAAGGCCCCCTCTGAGTCTGCGCTGAACGATCTTATGGTAATCCCAAAGCATTCCAGAGTTGCATGAAGCGCTCATGACCAGCTCACACTTTCTAACAGTGCCGTATACTATTGCTCAAGGAGGGCTCGCGCGTATCCTTCTTCACCACATGACTGAGCATTCTCAATCTTTCTCACTGGATCTTCCGTTGATTACAGATAGGGCAATAAAATGAGATTTCAAGTTTGTAAATTGGATATCTTACGCAGAAAATTCAACGCGAGTTACCATGGAACTTTCATGTGTGAGAATATAACAGGATTGCGTTGCGGAAAAGAAACAGAATTAAAGGAAAAGACAAGCCCCTATAGACCAAAAAAAGAGAAGCACATTCAGGAATAATGATAATAGAATACTTGAAAAATAGAGTCAAAGGATCAATCTTGCTTGTGATGAAATATGATAGTGTTCAAGAAAGGTGTTCACCTAGTTATATCATTACAATTTCAATCAACTTTAATGCAAGATTGTTATTGATCTTTCTAGCTTCAATTTCCGGGATGTGTGAACTCGGTGAGGTGATCAAATCCCATGATGTGGTTGAACCTGGTTTAAGCTTGAGTTGATAACCTTTTTTCACAAGTTTCATCACACAGTTTGTCCATGGCCATTGCTTCATTAAGCCGTTTGTTTCGTTCACTAAAATGACAAGAGATTTGAAGAATCAGTTCTTGCTCAAACAAGTTATTATCAGGATAAGTGAGAAAATGACTTACAGATAAGCTGATTCAAACCCAGTCTAGCTCTAGAGGACTCGTTGGTAGCAGTAGAGGCGCGTTTAAGTTTGGCTACACATTTTCGACAGAAACCAGGGTTTCGACATCAAGTCAGCTGATTGTAAATACAAAGTTAGTTGACCAAGTACTTGCCTTGTTTCCGACGGTTCTTCATGATAGCTCGGACTTGTTCAGGTTCCATATCAGAGTCAATATAATCTGAACACAACCATTGCTTCGGTCTTTTTCGGCGATTGCGGCGATGTGTCATGAAACTTCAAGTGTGTGGAATGGAATTAGTGAGGAAAAAAGATTGTGAACGGAGTAGGGATCAAAAATGAAACCTGGTAGTTGTGAGTGTGACGGGATAAAGAGAAGATAGATGGAAAGTCGTAATGTAAAAGAGTACTTTGACTCTGAGTGTGGATTATGACCTGATTCACCGTGGTCTATATATACTCAAAGGTGAGGAGAAGGTGGCCTCGATCAAAGTATCTGGTTCGGCGCAAGCTTGTGGGTGTTATGATCATCGTTGACATCAAATTGTTGTAGTGTTTCTAGGTTACATCGATAGATGACTACGAATAGTTTGTGAAATATCGGAAACGAACTTGTGGAGAGACTCGCATCCTCTTGTAATTTTTTTCTCGTCAAAGCGTTAAGCGGTCTTCGACTAACCGGAGTTGCTCCTCCAGAAGGGGAAGCGAACTCAGTCTCACCCTTGGCAGCTTGCTCGTCCAAGCTCAGATTTCCTTCACGTCTGGTCTGTTAAAATTTTACCGCTTCACATGTCAGTCTTTCTGCAAATAAACGAAGGTTTATAACGTCTTAGGAATATAGCAGGAGCTCGAAAAATCGCGACAGGAGATTTTCATCATCCTTGGCATCTCAGATGTCCCGGAAAAGTCACAAGTAGTCACCACATTTATAACTTGGTGATTGACAATGTGTAAGTAGACCAGGATTGTGTTGCGGAAACAAAGATGAAGACAAAACGAGAAGCTTTAGGTAGAAAATGAGGAAACACTCATGTAGCTATAGGCTAATGGAACACTTGAGCTAAAAGAAATTCGAAAATTTGCAGATTCATATGAACTTTTTTTGGTGGAGATCAAATGTATAGCGAGGAGTAGCGTGATGTAGCGAATTGGCAACAAGGTAATGAAGCACTTGAGCTAAACGAAATGCGAAAATTTGAAGTTTCATATGAACTTTTTTTTGAGAAGATAAAATACGATAGCGAGAAGTAGCGTGAAGAAGAATATCAAGCTACTGTAAACTAAATTCAGCTAATCATCGCAAGTGCCTATTCATATCTCCACAACTTCAATCAATTCCAATTCAAGGTCATTGTTGATTTTCTTAGCTTCGCCGTCACGAAGGTGTGAGCTAGGTGAGGTAATCAGATCGAATGGTGTAGTCGAACCTGGTTTGAGTCGAAGTTCGTAGCCCTTTTTCTCAAGTTTTGTCACACAGTTAGTCCATGGCCATTTCTTGAGTGAGCCTTTGGTTTTATCCACTAAACCACATGAGATCAAAGTATCAATCAGTTTAGTTGCCAGTTCAGTACAGCATGATCAAAATCAGTGAAACAAGGGCTAACATATGAGCTCGTTTAAACCCGATCGAGCCTTGGAACACTCAGTGATAACAGGACTAACTTCAACATATCCTGGGAGATTACACAATCTTTGGCTATCAAGTGGTGACGGACTAGGGCCAGTATAGAACCATCCAGTATTTCTTTTTCGACCCATGTTGACACTAAGTGCAATGAAATTGACGATGAGGTGGAATCACAAACAAAAGATGAATCAAATATGAAATATGGCGATTGTGACTGGTATGAGATGCAGAGGCTGATCAGGAAGCTAAGAATATAATTCTGAAGTTCTAAATGATGATTGAACTGATTTTAATGGTGTGGATGAGGATAGATATGGATGGTTTGGTTTTTATGGCTCGATCGATGGTGGGTCCATGTTTTATAGTCAACAGGGCAGCTGATGACGTACGTGATCGAATAATAATTTAGATCAATCAGAGCTCGTGGTAAAGAGCGGTCATGAAAACCAACGGCACGCATGTAAATCACTCGCGGGTGACGACCGATAACGATTCAGACGTGTCACTCGGCTTTTTAAACTTACCGATATAAGAATCCGAGGGACATTTCTTGATGGCGTCCGAGAAAACAACAAGGTACAACATAGTGGTTATCAGTACATATAACCTTCCTAGAGCTGAAGAATGCTCTAGCCTTGAATGCAATGGTGATGGATCGCCCATAGTGAGGGTGATTTGAACTCTCATAACAAGGAATGTACAAGCTGAAAAGAGCCACAAGATAGGACTTGATAGAATTGAACTCCAAAGTCAAGAAACTGTTACAATAATATCCAAGGAACTCATACAACTAAAAAGAAAACTGATAACTCTGAGCTGATGATGAAAAAGGAGAAGAATAAAAAAGATAAAAAAGATAAAAAGACAAAAAAGATAAAAAAGACACATGCAGGAGACAATGTTGCACAGGCTGAAGATGCAGACAAACGACATTCGAAGGAAGAAAAGATAAATGCTCAAGATTCAAGAGTCAAACAAGATATTAGATTTTGAGAAAACACCGTATACACCACCACGGCTATGATTTTGAGCTGGAGAACAAGCAAAAGCAACGTAAGCTGAAGAATTAGTCGTGTGTTTTGATTCTCGGAAACCTGTGATACAAGTGAATAGAGATGTGAGATTCCTGTTCGGATGATTGTAGATACTAGAAGGTTATAAGCTTCTGACGTACCAATGGGACAGTTTGCATCCTTGACCAACCACACAAGGACTATGAGGATTTCTTTTCTACCAAATCACTTTGCCTTTCCCCACTTCCACCCAACAAAGAACCGTAAACAAGGTTCTCTTTTGAATCACGATCCTAAAATGCAATCAAAGGATGGTAAGTTGTTGGCATATGAATGATTAATTTGTGTAGGCGTTCAAGTCACTTACGTCCGGCATCAAACCACAATATTTGATCTGATTAGCCCGACAAAGTCGTAGCCTTTGTTTTGATGGCTGGATGGATGCATTTGAAATGGGTGCAGAACCCTTTTTTGTGACTTCGTCATTGGATTTCGGCTTCGGTTTCCTAGAGCGAGGAGTACGGGTTGAGTGGGCTTTTGCCAATCTCTTTGAGCTACGTTGATATCCGGTATTGGTTGACGTTTCAGTACGCTCTCTCTTGTGTACTCTGTTGTTGTCCAGTTCCCGCAGAGTGTCTGAGATCGCCACAGCTTGACGAGCAAATCCACGATATGAGCTCTCCATCTTGCTGGCAAGCTCGGTCAGCGTGATTTTGGGTTTCGGGGCCTTGACCATGAAGCGAGACGGTCTTTTAGAAATTTCACCGCGAGACTGTGCTTCAGAATGTGCCGCTATCCCAGATGATGAAGGACTCGTGTCCACAAGCAAGAGAGGATCGATATGTTCGCCCAGAAATTTGTGCGTGACATTCGTTGGGTGAACGACCCCTTGTGAGAGCGAAAGGAGTATTTTGGCATAATAGGCCATTGAATCTGGCGCTTGTGGACCTGCAGCAGATTTCGAGTAACCAGAACGTTCTTTAAAGTCGGCATACAGTGACATGTGTAAAGGTGAAGACATGATGATTATGTATAGATTTGATTTAGTTCCTGATGGGCAAAGAATTGGAAAATTGGTATTGTTGAAAGGTAGAGGATGATGGTGGATTTAAAGTAAGATTTGTTTTGAAGTGATGATGTGGGGGAGACAAAAAGAGAAAGTTCAAACGAAGCAGTCAGCTCTATATATCGCCACCGGCTCGATAAACTTGTTGTGCCTGAAGATTTCTTGCCAATTTGTTGATTGACCTATCCATTTGGTGACGGCAAGGCACAAGAAATGGCCGGCTTCAGAGTAGATACTATTTGGAGGACCCCATCCATGACATGAGGACTGGTAAGCAGCTTTGGTTCTTTTCTCGACAGCGGCTAAAGAATTGGATGTATCAATCCCTGATCGGATCATTCTTACTGATCTCATTACATGGGAAGCTGGATCGGTGACCAAGGCATTTTTCTATATCATCATTGAGACAGGTGATGTTGGACTTTTCGAAAATGGCTTTGATACTTCTCAGCACGATAGAAAATAGAGATAATTAAAAGCATAAAAAGCAAAATAGAAGCAAAGAACAGCGCGAAAGCGCGTATACTTAGAGCAAAGAGAAAAACCTAAATAAGGGAGCACACTGGCTATGACTTTCTTGAATTGAGCTCATAAGCACACCGTGACTGACCAAAGCAAGGAACATCTAAAAAGATTTTGTACCCTCTCAATAAACTCGTCTCACTTGAGTTCGCCAAGTAGACATAATTTACAAGTCCATATCACTTATTTGTCGTGCTCCGAATCAAAAACTTCAAACGCGGTCCGCAGGTTTGCAAAACAAACTTACCCTAGCGACTTAGCTTGTAAGCTCAGCACCATGGTGTACATTTAAAGATTGGTGCCCCAGACCTGGGCTATCATTTCCACAGCTATCCAGTCAGCAATCCAAACGAAGACAAGAATCTCCTAGGCAATCATAGGCATTAGTCCTTGAAACAGCGGCGTATCTTGGAGGCAACAGAGAATTTGGGTGCGCTTCGGAACCTGTTCCAGCGATGCTTCTCTCGGATTCTGTAACATTTTCAAAACTTCAACATCAGATCTAATTCAAAGCTGGGTGTAATCTAACACAGAAGCTTTTGAGCGACATAACAGTGAATTTGACGAAACTGATAGCAGAAAAGCACCATGCAGAAAGCAAAGATCAAAGCAGCTATGGAACTTTCAGAAAGCGCATTATGCCTTGAAAGTTCAGTTAATTAGAGGGGCTTGAACAGTACGAAGCTCGAAATGCCAAATGACAAACTATGAAAGATCAGCTTTTTCGATGAATTGTGAATATATAAAGTAGACGTGGTCCTCAGGTATGTGGCCAGGCAATCATTTTCCTAAAGCACTTGAAGCAAACGAGCACCATCCATCACAAATCTACGAACGCGACTCACCCACAACTCAAAACTCACACAATAACTCAATAATGACTCAAACATTGACCAAAGAAATCGTCTGTCGGATCCTTGAGAGTCTATGCAGCAGCACCAATTCCCAAGTCTGTGACAAGGTGGCGGACGAATACGATCTCAGCACTGACCTAACCATGAAGTTTGAAGACCGTTATCGCATGCCCCACAAATACCTACTTGATCTAATCAGTGACGCCGAAGACCGACTGGAATCGGCTAAGGCGTGTCTCCTTGACTTTGATCCTGTTGGAGCACTAGTGATACTCAAAGGTTTGGTGCCAGACAAAGAGATTAAGGAGCAGATCAGCATGACGACGATTTCACACGGGATACTGAACTCTAGGAAGCAGGTGAGGTTGGCTCAAAGCGAGAGGAACTGGTTGAAAGTGATTTCTTCGATAGATTACGTTGAAAACCTATTCCTACGACCTCCTCCTCTCAATAGAACGTGCAGTACTTATCAAGGTTACCGGCTCCCCAAAGCCTGGTGCATATGGGCAATGGAATCTTACATTTATCTAGGGAAATATCAAAAGGCTGAGGAGATGTTCAAGTAAGTCTCAGTCTAGCTTTTTTATCTTTATATCCATCCTTATGCGAGGATGAGTAATCTTTTTAGGGTGCTAACTGTTGTGTTCTTCACTTTGATATAGTGAGATCTCCACCAAATATACTCTCGAATCGAACGAAAGACTTTGGCTCATGGGCCAGTTGGCGTATTGTAGTGGTAGAGTCGAAATCGCACTTTCATTATTCAAGGCCTTGTCAATTCAGAAAGATACTCCTATGATTAGGTAAATCTTTTCGTAATCCATACTGAATAGACCAAGTGAAGTGCTGACTGTTTGTCTCCTTTTATCTTTACTTCCAGGGCTTTGGTTGAACGTACCTCGCTAGTCTATGAACTTCTCACATGTTTGAATGGATGTAGTACCGATCTTGACTACCGGTGTGAAGTGTTTATCCATGCACAACGAACGTTCTTCGAATGGACCGCAGGGAATGGTTACGATCGAGCTGTGCGAAGTGAGATTATCAGAATATTTTGCCTTAAATCTTCTCCAAGCACGTATCCTACTCTTTCAAATGCTTTTGTCCCTGATGAGAGCGCTCAGATTTCCTCTAATACTCCTAATTCCTCAAGTGTGTCTTTCAATTCTTCTCCTCAAACTCTCAAAGATTGGTGTTTAGAAAAGTTTGCTTTGTATGGAGATGGACTAGATGAATCTCTTTCAAGAATGGATACTTTAGATTAGTTAGTTTTTTTTCATTTTCTATGGGGTGTAAGAAATTTGCGGTCTTCCATGACCGCAAAGGCTGATGTCCGCAAAAGTCAATTAATCCCGGGGCAAAGTTAAATTTTACGATCATTCCAATTTTTCCAAAGCTCGCAAAAAAAATTGATGTAAAATAATGACCGTAAAATTGGGCCACAGGTGTCAAATTATTTATTTTTACGGTCATGAGTTTGCGGACATTAATGTACGTAAACAATAATACTCGTAAAAGTGTAAACTTTTGGGGTAAAGTTGAGTTTTGCGACCAATGTTTTGCAGTGTACAAAGACCGTAAAAAACTTTCCGAAATATAGATTGCAAAAGTGAAAATTATCATTTTTAAAATGTAATTTTGCAATCCAAACTTTACGTTCAAAAAAATAAAAGTAATTCATTACGAGCACGAAAACAGCTTGAACAAAATGCAAGAAAAAGTGACCAGCAAGAAAAAGAAATGAGGATGGAAACTTCAAAGAAAGTCAAGAAGGTAACACACACAAATGTAGCTCGAAGGAGTGACTAGAAGATGAATACCAATTACGCTTGACAATAGGAGTGAGACTCAATAGAACAAAAAAAGACTAAAAAGAGACTTGAAAGAGTGATGAGAAAATAAAGAAAAATTATCGAGTAACCTACGCTATTACGTTCTCTTGCGTTTTGTACGCTTTGACTTCCGTGGTGCAATACTTTGACCCTCATCACCTTCTTCGGCGGCCTCCAACACCTCATCATCATCCTCCTCCTCTTCCACAATGGCCCATCCTTTCCAACCTTTCGCCTTTTTGGCTCCTTTAACTAAAACCCCTTCTTCTTTCTCTTCACGTATCTTCCTTTTCCTGGTTGTCTTATTAACTGTTTCCTTTTTAACTATAAGAAATAAAGAAGAACATACATAAGAACATAAGAATCAATGACTGCAGAATTGATATCTGAATAAAACAATCGAAGTGCTCACCTGGTTGTGGACTCTCCTTCTTTGATTTCTTTGATATCCTCTTCCTCTTCGGCAGAGGAACTTCGTCATCTTCATATTTGTTTTCTTCTTTCTTGGTTTCTACAAGAAATAAAAGAAGAACATACATAAGAACATAAGAATCAATGACTGCAGAAATGATATCTGAATAAAACAATTGAATTGCTCACCTGGTTGTGGACTCTCCTTCTTTGATTTCTCTGATATCCTCTTCTTCTTCGGCAGAGGAACTTCGTCATCTTCATATTCGTTTTCTTCTTTCTTGGTTTCTACAAGAAATAAATGAAGAACATACATAAGAACATAAGAATCAATGACTGCAGAAATGATATCTGAATAAAACAATTGAATTGCTCACCTGGTTGTGGACTCTCCTTCTTTGATTTCTTTGATATTCTCTTCTTCTTCGGCAGAGGACTTCGTCTCTTCATATTCGTTTTCTTCTTTCTTGGTTTCTACAAGAAATAAATTCATACTGATTGTAAACAATAGGTAAAGCAAACCAACCAAATAAAGACTCACCTGTTTCACGTAGCTTGGTCTTCAGCTTTGCCAAAGGAGGAGCTTCGATTTCTATATAATAGAAATAGATGGCAACATCTCAATAAACAAGAATCTAGTACATTGCAAAAGAAAGAAATCACACACCTTCTGCGTCATTGGTATGTTCTTTTTCCTCACAAATTGGTTGTGAAAAAGGTCGGACAATTACGTTATTTTTACCCAGAGACCTGCTTATCTTCGTGTTTGCATCATTGGAGATAGAAGCTTCTTTATCTGTAGGAGCTCGCGAATACATCACCCATGATGTATTTGCTATTTGACCCCCAATCACTTCCACATCACTTGACAGAAACGTCGCTATTCCTGCATTTTCCAAATCATTGTGGCCCCATACCCCGGTCAGGTTTCCTACTGTACGTACCACTTGACACCAATAATGTTCACCATTCCAAAAACCTTGTGCTCGCATTAAGTAGATAGTTCCGTCGAGTATCATTTCGTATGGTAAGTTACACTCTCTCATCATCTTGAAGGCTTTGGAGCGATTTGTTCCATGTAGGTAGGCAATGTCAACTTGGATATGGAGATGAGGAGGTGGAGGATTGAGGTGAAGTCGTGAGTGGAATTCCTTGTAAGGCTGGGCATGAGGATTCGTCGTGGTCTTGCAGCTTTTACAATACCGATTTGAACCTTGATAGCTACCTGTGGTAGCCCAATCATGTAGGATCTGGGGTGTTTCAGAATAAGATTCATCACCGTTGTAATTCTCGTGCGATAAAATGATAGTGTTGAGATGTGATACTTCTACTAAGACATTATCTTTGTTTTTTGGACATGTGTATGTGCGTTTGAGGTCAACACGAAACAAAGTTTGTGTGATTGCTGGAGAGGCTGGCTCCTTAGGTTGTGTTTCCCGATCAAAAATACCGCTGAAGTATTGGTCAGCAGAGGAGTATCTGTCCGGAAGGAAACTTCCAGGACATCGTTGTTGAATAGCTGTGTGGAGACTATTTTGGCCATTAGAAAGGATGCTATGAATTTTACCTGCCTGACCCATTTCCCAGGTGGACCTTGACGAAAAAAACTTCAATAGTTTCGCAAAGATATGATCTGATTTTCCTGAAGACTTGGTGTACCACAACACCGTATGAATGGCATACAAGCATTCAGTCATGGCATCAAGCCAACACCTGAATTGACGACCAGGAGTTGAGGAAGCATAAAATCCAGGGTACGTAGTGACCGGGTTCCGGTCCACATTCACGGAACCTTTAGGACGTCCAAGCTTCTTGCTACGTCCTAGCAATGCATCAGTCGTATCCGGGGGTCTTCCATCGTTCTTAGCTTCGCGCTGTTTTCGAGATTTCTTGGTCCAGCCAAGAACTTGTGCTACTTTCTTGTAGTTCTTAGCCTCATCCCCATACACTATTGCCACACCGCGAAGCCTGTCCTCATGGTCCCTTTCAAGACAGGCCACCAAGGCATACAGCTGCACGATACCAATCTGAATGGAGCAGTTTCCTTTGCTGTGAAGGAAAAAAAGCAATTCAATGATTAATTCAAAAGCTTACAAAGAAAAATCAAAAACATACGCTATCATGTAATACACACGATGCATCAATTCTTGTGCATTTGTTGTTGACGGCATGATGTCATCGCAAAGGCTATCGTCGTCAAGTTGCTTTTGTCGTGATTTGAAAAGCATTGACTTTATGTCGGATGCTTTCCACCATTCAAGCCACCGTTTGGCTTTTGGGAGCTGCTTAATCATTTTTTTTAACTTCTCATCAAAAGTTAAACTACCTGGCCGGTCTAGTGTTAAAAGTGAAGATGCTTGCGCTTGAAATGAATCCTGTAAATTCAAATATAAAAATATCAGCAATATGAAATACAAATGGAATTGTAATAATTAAACACATACCTCATCCTTTTCAGGTATAATTGCTTGGTTGCGCTGGACCCGAGTGACTTGAGCTCAAAAATGTTCATGACAACCTTGAAGTTTGGAAAGTGCCACTGCCGGATCAGTCTCCTTAAAAACCTTCATGTACGCTGTGGTGATCAATTTATGGGATCAATTAAAAAATTCACAATTACCAGTTTACCAGTTTATTAGCAGGATTCAGCAGGAAAGAAAATTCGAAATGGAGGTTTTTGATCAATTGAAGCTCTTGTAGGCTTATGTATTGGTCATTAGGTCAACATTACATTATTTTATTTCACATTATATATTAAGATCATTATAGTTTACTTACAAATTTATTACAAAAAGAAAGAAAGAAAAACATAAGAAAAATTCGAAATTATAGGTATAAAGGTTGGAAAATGGTTTTTAGGTTAGTAAAAATAAAGTTATGGGTATTATGAGGTTAGAATATAAAAGAACAACATTATATGATACTATGAAAATTTTAATCTTCAAGGTTGATAAGTAGAAACAGAAGTTATTAGGAAGAAAGCACTTTTTCAAAGTTGGTAAACAAGAGGTACACGTGTAGTTTGGTTGTGTAATAGTGGTAGTGATGGAATTTAAGGTTGCCAAGAGGATTTTCCGGGATTTTTAAGGCTATAGATGATGATGTAATATTACATGAGCAAGAAAGGCTTAGTAGTAGCTGTGAAAAGTGAAGAAAATGGGTGATATTCGTGGAAAATGGAGGTTTTCAGCTAATTACATATGTCAAATGACGTCAGAATAGGTTGGTAGATGGCTCATTCAACGCAGAAGAGTGGATTACATAATGTACAAACTTTAAATCATTAGTAACGGAGGTGTGTGTAAAACGTTATAAGGCAAATAAAGAATTGGTGTGAATCTCGAATTTACAGTCACAAGTCATATGTAACACTAAAAACCTTAACTTCACAACTCAATATCTTACTCATCACTCATCAGAAGTAGGTCATGTAGGTGTCAGAAATGATCAGTAACACGTGGACTACAAGATGCACTTTAGTAATCAAAAATTGGAGCACATCTGAAAAAATTCGTAATCTCAAAAATTGGTTTTCAGCTAGTTTACAAGGAAAAAATCACCTGTATTCATCATAAGAAGTGCTGTACATCATATTATTGCGTCATTGATCACTTTTAGCTGTGAAAATTACATCATTTATTAGTAACAAAACCATTACATTGCGTCATCATAGGGTTTTTAGGGAATTTTGGGCGGATTTGATTGGTTTTGAGGCTGTTGACCATTGTAAAAGTTCTAGTACATTGTTATATATACTTTGAGAGGGTTTTGGGACTGTTGTTCCCCCTTTTTTTTTCTTTATCATTTACGCCATTATTATTTTGTTTATCATCATAAACTTATTTTAATAGTACCTGTTCACTTAAATACGCCCTTTATTACAGTTATAAAGAGAAATTTACTTTAGTTTTATAGTCATAAAGACTTATTGGGAATAATATCAATCAGATATTGCTTATTTTTTTTCAGTTATCAATTGGGAATAACACTATAGCAGTGTTGATAGTAATACAAAGTGTGCTTTTGAAGTTAAAATTACGTGTGAAGTTATATTTCTCTGGTGCCTTATCAGTACTCAATACAACAGAGCTCTTTCTGATTGTGTTGTTTTAGAAGAGCAGTCCTTAGACAACTTCTACTAGTCATTTTATTAGTAGATTATCCTCTTCCAGCTCTGTATAACCCTTGTTGGGTTATAAGTTCTACAACGCTTTGACAAATCTGTTCTTTTGGGCCAATGAAAAGTCAACTACCTGTCGAACCAGCGTATCACGTTCCTTGACGGTTATTTCGGCATGCTTGAATTGTTTCATCAGGGTACTGAAGTGTGCGGCGTAGTGATTTTCCGTCATGCCTTTCAGCCAAGTCAAAAGAATTGGGATACATCGTTGCAGATCCTCGTGATACATAGAAGTTGATAAAAGATAACCGTTTTTGAAAAACTTGTATGTTACGTCTGAGAGGAGACCGCCACCATAGACCCTGTTGTCCTTGTCTCGAGCCATCAGCTGCTGATGCATCCAATCCGTTTGAAAGGTCATGTGCATGTTCACACGCTTCATAGAACATGATACAACGTTCAAACTGCGCCTGAAGCCAGAATTAAACCAGGAAGACCAAAAAGAAGTGGCAGAATATATATAAGTATCGTAATCACAAAGAATATAATTATCTTGAAATAGAAAACATACTCAGACCAGTGATACATGTCCATAATGAAGTTGTCTGCCGCTCCTGGAACACTCTTTTTGGGGATAACACCTGCTTCCCCAAGGAGCTTACGTCGATAGTAACCAGTCCGATGTAGGTTGCCAAAACCTGCATGGATGTTGCTAGCGGTAACAATTTCCTTCTTGCCCGCAGGAGCTCGTCCGACCTTGCAATCAAATAATTATTAGTAATCTTTTGAAATGGTGCAGAATGAAATGAATTCGAGTGTACCTTGTGTCGTAATGGTCCCACATCAGGGTTTTCAACTACCCGTTTGGCAAACTTGGCCAAAGACAACTTGTCCGGCTTGCCACGTCGAGGCCATCAATGGTTATGGATCCCAGAGTGGCGTATGATGCCCCAGCCGCTGACATGTTCGTCCAACCGGCATAAGGTGTCATTACATTCAATATATTGAAGTTCCTCAGTACACCTTGCAGCAGGACATTTCTGAGGTCTAAATCCATATGAGAGCGATAATGGTCAGAACTATCATCTTTTTCAAAATATTGATACTTTGAAATACTAACTTGCTCATCCATTCTTCTCTCTTGGGGGCTGCTGTTGGCGGTGATCCAAGATAATTGCAACCAAGACTCTTGCAGACTATGACCCCTAGACAGCTATATCTGACTGTTCGCCAGTCACCTGGGCCTTTGCTTTTGCCACCAGACGATGTATAAGTGAATCCAAAAGTCCCCCAGTTGGTGAACTTTTGCTCGGCTGATAGTCGAAGAAAGACAGTGTTTCCATTTGGGAATAATGGATAACCTTCGTCGTCAAGGGTAGTGTTTTCATCTATGAATGTTTCGAAAGATGGACGGTCCAAGGGTAGCCTGAAGGTTTTCTTAACTTTGATAGCCACCTTCCGACCCTTCGTCGAATTGGTAGAAATGGAGGATTTCTTTCCCTGAGACTGTAATGGCGGAGAAGTAAGAGGAGGTTTTCCCTTGGTCGAATTTGTAGAATTGGATGATTTGTTTCCCTGAGACTGTAACGGAGGAGAAGTAACAAGATTTTTCGAAGCAAGATAAGGTTTTTCATCTTTGAATTCAACTTCTTCAACTTCTTCATCTTCTTCATCTTCTTTGTCTTTGTCTTCGTATACAACTTGTTCATCTTCTTCGTCTTCGTATACATCTTTTTCATAAATTTCAGGCTCAGAGTCACTGATATGTGAATATTGATCTCCTTCAGAGTTGCTACAGTAAGATGGGTCACTCATGTTGGTGAACGTAAATGTTATTGATTAAATTCTTGATAGTAATGATTAAAGGTCAATTGGGTATTATTGATAAAGCAAAACTGATCAAAATGTGGAATTAAACGGTAGAAACTGATTGAAAGGTGGAAATAAATGATAATTGAGATTAATGAGGAATTGAATTATGATGTGGTTATTGTTGAGGTTGATTGGTTAGAGAGAGAGAGATATGTAAGATTATTCTGATAAAGAGATGATGTTGTTGAACTAGCAAAACAAAATGATCGTTTCTAAACAAATTGATCAGTTGAAAGCTCGAAAAGATCTTTCTTTCTTCATCATGAGGGCTAGTCATTATGACACCCCTTTCCTCTCGTTTCGATATCTGTCAATCCTTGGCTTTGGATCGGTAATATTTCATCAATCCGTCGGATTGGTAGTGATTGCTTTCTTCATCAATCCGATTGGATTGGTAATTATCTGCTTTGATCGCAAATTTGAACATTTCGTGCAAAATGATTGACTTTTCAGGTTATTGTTTTGCGATGCTTTGAAATGACTGTGAGACTTGGCCTGTGAAAGTATCGATTAGAGGCGATTTATGTACTTTTGCAAGGATTTTTATTTGCAATCAAAATGTGTCGCGAAGTTTAGGTTGCAAAATTATATAATGTATGTACAGGGATGTAAATTTCAGGTGATCTTTTTGCAACTGTATTTTTTGCGATCATTCTGAATTAGGGTTCAACTGTAAAAATATGATTTGCCCCGGGATAAATTGACTTTTACGGACATCAGTCTTTCCGGTCTTTAATGACCGCAAAGTGATGATCGCAAATTTCTACGATCCCATTTTCTATCTTTTTTGATGGTCTGATTTTTGTATTTTTTTTGGAATGTGAGAGCAAGCCTCAATGATTTCAAGAAAACAAACTACCAGAGACCAATAGAAACTAGAACAAAAGATAGCAGATCTTAACAAATTGTGCAAAAACCTATATACCATTCTGATCTGGCTAGGAAGATCCTTGAGTGACGTTCCCTTTCAAAGCCTGCTCAAAACAGTTAAATGCTTCGGTTGGCTGATAGTTATCGTCAAGAAGAAGAGCGTCTCCGAAATCTGTTTGTTGTTTGACAGGTCAGGCGAAGAAAGAGTAATAAATCATCAGTTTCCATTCTTTGAAGAAGCTGATCCCTTGAAACCGTCAGAAATTACGCACTATGAAATGTTGATGGAACCCAAGAGTCAGGGTACCCAACACCCCAAACAGTGACACCTTTACAGCCCGGAGTCTCCTTACAAGCCGTTACAAAGGTAGCGTAGTCTTGGGCTTGTTGCGCCAAATCCTTTGGAGACGCGGGCAAAGGAAGCCTTACATCGACTTCGGTGTAGGCGACCTCAAGACCTTTGATACAAAGGAAACCGGATACCATCAGCCGGGTGTTTCAAGATAGGAAGATTCTCGAGAGCTTACCTAAATCGACATATCGTTTGAGGTTTGCTTTCATCTCTGATCAAGTAAGAAAATATCAAAGTTGAGATGAGTCTTATGCCGTTAATCATCTCGATTGATGTTTGAAGAGTCGGTAATTCATTACCTTCGAGTCGTGGCAGTTTTCCCACGATCATGTGCCCTTGCAATCCAACACCATGTAGAAGTTTCTTTTCGGCTAATGATTTCACGATGGCGTAATAAGCATCTGACTTCTTTCCGAGTCCCTCAACATTGTAATCGTTGACTGAACGTTGCAGAAATGTAGATGACGGATGAAAGTTGGAGTTGGCGAGGAGGAACCAGTCAGTGATCCGAATTATCTTAACTTGAAAGGACTCGAATCAAACAATGGAGCTCAACTATAAAGTTTGATATTAGTACCCGCATCCAAGGCAGCTTGAAATGCCATTTCGATGAAAGAATCATTCAACTTTTGTGACCAAAATGAATCACGCAGATTTCCATCATCTCCCAAGACTTCATTACAAACGTCAAAGGAGTATAGATCGTCTTTATAGTACTGTAAGACGGTTTTGATGTGATTTTGGGTGGCATTTACAAGTCCAGGTCCATCAAGATCTTTTAACCATTGCGGTACCTGATTGTGCCTACGCGTGTAGGGAAACACATATTGAATATGAGATAATATTTCACTGTTAGAAAATCAGATTTTTGACAAAGGAACTATCGTACCAAACCCCGACATGTCCACGTATCGTTTTCCCGTTGTCTTTTGCGAATTTGACAATCTTGTCTCTGTATAAAAATCAGCCGCTTAGCCAAGAGAATTCGAATGGAATCAGTGACACGGTAAAATGCTTACGATGCGTTGAAAGAGAATACGCCTTGTGTCTTCTCGGTTGCATCCCACTTCATCACTATGATTGTCTCCGAAGAGTATTGGAGGGAGTGCAATCAGCAAATCATAACGGAATTAGATGATCCACGAGAACAAAAGCGGGAAGGAGTGCCTCAATGGACTCACCGTTACCAGGCGTTATGTATTCGAAATATGTCTTGACAGCATCAACGTATGATTGGTTATTGAAATACGGTGTATCAACTGCTGTCCCAACGTATATCTTTTCTTGACATTCGTCGGGGTCTGGAGTATCACCGCCCCCAGTACCATTATTTGAAGCATCGTTGCCATTGATTGGCTGAGTGATCTGATTCATGATGTTGGATGTGTCCGCCCTCCTGAGGGCTCCCAAACGACCCTCTGCGGCATTGAAGGAGAAAAAGCCAATGACCACCAGGGTCAAGGAGTGAGAAATTACGAAGTGACGCATTGCGTATGAAAAAGATATAAGTAATGGACGAGGGAAACGCAAAAGCAATCGTTAAGTCGGTGAGTTAAATAATCAAGGCCGACGAGAGCGATGGCAATGCATCTGAAGCCATATGTTGCCTCTACCGAGCCTAAGAAACTATTCTATTGGAATCTGGCAATGGATAGATTTAGAGATTGGTTTCGTGCTGCCTTCAACTTCCGAGAACAACTCGCGTCATTGACAACGCGGGTTGACTAGTGGGTATCACTCTTCAAGTTGAAACTTGAGATTGAATTCTACACGGCGGGGGCTCCACACCGTTCTTGTTCTTCAAGAAGATTCGAAAGCGATTGCAACTTTGCCATAGTTGGCGGAGCAACAGTTGCAACTTGCAACTCCTACCCCAGGAGGAGATATACGGTCCACTAATTCGAAGGTTATGCGCTATGTAGCAGATTGGCCTAGCGTGGGGGTAGGAGCAGTAGTTCTCAGTCAACCTCAGGCAGCGCGCAGAGCAACGTCCGGACCATAACAACCCAGTCCATCGGATGTGCGTATGTGAAGGTCCAAAGCAATAAGAGTGCCATGTGTCAACGCCATTTTAGAGGCGTAATTGTTGAGAACATTGAGCTCATGATAGCTGAGACGCAAGAAACCTAAAGCGATGAGAAGTGAGTTGTGGTCTATCGTCTCCAGAGGTCAAAATATGCCCGACTCGGCCCTACTCCCAAATATTAGCCAGAGAGTCAGAAGGTAAGCCGTCAGTCGGCCTTCTCCAGATGTCGGTCGAAACTCGATTCAGATCCTTTCCGATCACATTCACAAAATCCCATCGATTCTCATGCTCATCTTCAAATCATATCCAAGCAGATGTCAAAATATTGACCTTTTTTAACTGAAGGTTGACATCCATCACCTTATTATGCCGCGCAAGGCTATAATGGCAAGAAACAGTCTTATCATACCCAAAGGAAATTAAAAGCTTTCCAACAAGCCAAAGACTGGCCACTGGCACATCAACATCATGATGCCTAGCCTCCTAGTGCTCAGTAATGCGAAACAATGGATTGAGCTGTGACAGATTGAGCTCCGAGAATGCCGACGAATTGGCCACTCTGAATCCCACATGAGAAGATTTTCATCCGTTTCCCTGTTGAAGTGATGCTGGTATTTACGATCACGGGAAATCTTCTCACCGTGATGAAAAAGTCGCAGTCAATCCTTAACGTTAACGCGACTTTGTTTACCAAAGAAGGTGGTATGCGTATGTTTGTGTGTATGTCATCACTTTTGGAGCTATTCCTGATCCAACCGTCTCATCAGGTCTTCATACCAACGCGTCATCGTTCGATTTTCATTGCTCATTTGACTTCAGTCGTTCGAGAATCTCAGACCCAGCTGTAGGCTCAATGCGGGAAGGATAGGGTGAGCCTAGGCCCGAGAGGAAGGAGATAAGCTAAACAAACTACCTGGGAAGATCAAGAGTTCGTAGTTTGGAGCACACGAATCTGATGAATTCTTTCCAATCAAAGTGATCAAGCTTCAACAACTCGTCATTCATAACCCTCATCAGTCGATTTGATAAAGTAGACTATGTATCGGCATCGCTACTACACTCAGACTTCAGATACGAATCCGGATGAGACCGTAGTCATAGCGCTCAAACCATTTTTTTTTGTTTTAAAGCTAGTCCGCCACATCTAAACTATTTTTTCATTTAAAAGAAATCCACTAAAAAGCACTCCTCAAAGGCTTTCTTGCAACTTCCATTACATATTTGTTTCAAGTTAGATACATACCATCATATCCGATCTACAACACAGTCTATCAAGGCATCAATTCATCCATACAAGTCGTTCATTTCGTCCATCGTTTTTGTTTTGTACCCAAACTTTTACACCCTTCTTGTTCCATCGATTCCTTCAATTATTCCATTGTATTCAACTTTCAACATTCTTCTTCTTGATTGAGGAATTTTTTATAGTCGGATATCCAAGTCCCTAGCATTTTTTTTTGTGATATTTTTCATCATGATGAGTTCTTTACATCCTTATGCTGCATCACAATACGTAGCATCTTCAAATCAACTTGCTCAACCTCAACCCTCACCACGTGCCAGTCGGTGGTACGTCACCCCAGCATCTATCTCCTTGATCAACTTATCCGATCACCACGTAAGACTCAATTCATTCTACAGATTGTTGTTTCTGCTTCTTGCTGACCGCTTTCGAACACCTTGATTGATTATCAATTTTAGTCGGTAAAGAAATCTACCACTTCTTCCTCTCAAAAGACTTCTACACTTTCTCCTATACTTTGGAAATCTCCACAATCTTCTAGTAGTAGTCATCGACTTTCTACTATTCCATCTTACTTGAAGATCTCATCCACATCAAATCAAGATGACGATGACCATAACAATTCAAAGCGCTCAACTCTAAGTTCGTTACTTGTGCGTAAAGTTCTTATAAACTCACTGGTCATTTCCTTCAATCATTATCTGACATTTCGAAAATATATTTAACCTTCTTAGAAACGTTCAAAGGGCCTTTTGCGTCGACGTCAAAGTATGCGGACTAGGGTCTCATCTGATCAACAAGTCATCGAGAAACCAAAACCTACCATCAAGATTCAAACAGGCATACCAAGAAGTTCACAAGACTCGACCATCACTCGCCACACAGCACGAAAGTTATCAACGTCTTTCTTAGATATCGATGAAGAATCCGAACCATGCGATGAAGAAGAAGTAAACCGAGCAAGAACCCCATCACCAAGTCTTTCCGACATCGAAACGTGTTTTGAACTCACCCTTGATGAGACCCCCAAGAAATCCGTTCCATCTCGCAGTAATGGCAGTACTTCTTATCCATACAGCTCACCGATCCATTCATTCTTTTCCACATCGACAATCGAGTCAACCCACTCAATGTTTTCAAACTCTTTACCTGTTACTCCAAGTACCACGACGATCGGAAGTCTTCGTTCACCTGATCCTACACTCGAATCTTCTTCATCTCGTAATCCTTACATGAACTCGTGTATTGGACTTTTATCTAGTTTGACATCTTTAAATGAACTTTCTTCTGATCTTCCTAACCAACATCGATCACTCTTAAATGATGAAATTAAACAATGGAACTCTAGAGTCAACAAATGTAAAAACACATTTACAAAAGAAGATGAAAGTCTATGATCTGATCATTGAAGAATCAACTTGATGGAATTTAGGTTTTGGGATTCATAAGTAAATAATCAAAGAAGAAAAAGATGTATAAATCCTTTTTTTGGCTTTTTCTTTTTTTTGGAAAATCATTTCTTGGGTCTTTATTTAATTTTTACATATTTTTCGATTTATTATGTATATAAAACTTGATGTTTAATTTTGTATATATTTCTTAAACACAGATGAATGGTGTTTTTTCTCATATATATATTTATCAAATCATCATACTACATAATTCTTTTTGTGAAAACTAATAATTTCAAAGTTATAAAATCAATTTCTTTAAACTTTTTAATTTCTATTTATAAATTCAATTAATGTAAATAAAACTGGTGTTTAAATACATATTCACATACATATTTTGTTACCAAAGAATTGTATACATGATTAATTTTTTGATTACTTCACTCTCTTAATTGAAAAAAACACAAATCATTTAACCTTTTCTTTCTTTTTTTGTGATGTTGTTTAAGCATTTACTACATTCAATTTCAAACATGTTCATTTCTTCTTTTTAAAACTTCTTCTTTTTCTTGTTCAATACCTTTCTTTCTTTTTCTTTTTGAATACCAAATGTTTATAAGTACACAATCTATCATTTATCCATTCCTTTTTTCGTGTCAGATTGTTTTCTTTCTTTTTTGATGACTGAAATGTAACTTTTTGTTTTCATCAAGCATAACTTGACTTGTATCTCAAAATGTTCATTGGTCTTTTTGGAAAATTTAATCAAACAAATGTTTTATTTTTGGATTATCATATCTTACAAGTTTGACTCTTTCAAAGCTACAAGAGTCATTGAATATCTTCACGTTATGGGGTATTAAACATTTTCCCTTATCCAATCACAATAAGAGCCGTGAAAGAGTGATTATTTTGGAGATGAAATGTATGAAGGTGTTGTTGGGTGGATCTATGAATTGATGAAAGTCGAATAGAGTTTTTGTAGAGTGATATGATAGAGTATGCTTATAAGTAGTATGTAGTTTCACATGAGTGATTTCCTCGATCGTCAAGTGAAGTGTGAATTGAATTGGTATGAGAAGTGTAGCACCACTGCTTACATACTTACATATCCAAGGATCTGAACGAATACTTACTTTTCACAGACAACACTCTGATTGTTCATTGGTTAGAATCGGTTGACGACTTCTTCGCTATCTGTTCAAATTCTAATCAACTCATTTGAATTGAGTGGGTTCGAATTCAGATATTAGATTTTATAGTCAAGATTACCTAGATTAGTCTTCATCTTTATCGGTATTACTATTCATCGATCAAATAGATTGTAGTTTGAAGGATTCTTTGAAATCTTGAAACATCCCAATCCATCATCAGATCGTTAAAATCAAATCCAAAGATTACTTGACTTACAATATTTATTTGATCTTTCTTTTTAAATAGTTCACAAAACTAACTCCTATATCAGTTTATCTACTTACTACAATCTACTCTCTACTTACTCTCTCATCATGTCAAACCCCACTCCAACTCCAACTCCACCACCCACTTCTTCATCATCACATCACAAATCTAAACAAAACCTTCATCATTCAAACAATCAAGCACTTCAACATAACAAGAACTCGGGTCCTAATCATCAATCATCTATGAAGAAAAATGTAAGAGCTTGGGGTAACATCAACAATCCGAACAATAACAACAACAACAACAATCATAACAACAACAACAATAACAATCATCCTCAATCTGCTTGGAGGAACAACAATAATCATCAATCTCATCACTATGTGAATGGTGCGATCGTAGGTCAATCTAACAATCAAAACACTCATTCCAATCAATTTCAACAAGCTGCTATTCCGAATGATGAGAAATTGGTATTAAAAGCTATGCATGAACGTATGGTTTGGTTTATCATGAGTTTAGTGGTCAGTACGATCTTCTTATCGAGAATCTTAAATACTTCATTCTCAGATTCACTCAAACCTCTATGGTTTTCTTTCTGGGTCAAAACGGTCGATCTCTAGGGTTATACAGTCACTGCTACTACCAAATCTGGTCAACGATTTCAAGGTTTGTTATCATCAGCTGTTACAGAATCAGAATTCTCAATCACTCTCAAAAGGGCCGTTCAGCTACCTATACCTTCGACTTCTTCATCCACTCCTACTCCACGATCGGCTCCAGTTGTTAAATCAACCTTGATCATCTTTTCAAGAGAATTAGTAGAAGTCGTGGCAACTGATGTAGATTTAAATCAAGCTAGCTCAGTAGGAACTGGCTCGAATGCTGGATTCAAGACCGATTCTGAAACTCTGGGTACCAAACTGGATGCTAATGGACAACCGATCATTAGAGAAAAAGAACTACAAACTTGGCAACCAACACCTGGAGATATGTCAATCGAACCCACGAATCCTACAGCCAACTTGAACGAATCAGATCCTATAGGACTCGAAGACAGTTTATTTCCCAAGGATTCAGGTCATCGAAGGACATTTGATAAACCTTGGGATCAATTCGAAGCTAATGAAAAGTTATTTGGAACTCATACTGATTTTGATGAAGAGATTTATACAACTAAATTGGATAGAAGTGGTAAAGATTTTAAAGAACGGGAAAGGAAAGCTGAAGCTTTGGCTAGAGAGATCATGGGCTCTAGTACCTCTAATCCTCATGTTCAAGAAGAGAGGGGGTTATTGGTGGCTGATGATAGTGGAATGAATGAAGAAGATAAGTAAGTTGAGATCTTTGAGATTGTCTTTCCCCTCTGCGTTGCGATGTTGATCAGAAAGTCAATCAGAGGCAATCTTCACTAATGTCATGATTCCTTTTTGATCAGATATGGTGCAGTGATTCGAAGCGAAGGGGCCTATGTTCCGCCTGGGGCTCGTAAAGCTGCTGCTGCTGCAGGAGGTAACAAACAAACTCTTCAACCCTCAGCTTCCAACTCAAATCTCAATAAATCCGGATCGAATTCACAACCTCAAAATGCGACGAACAATAATAATCCTTCGCGAACTTCCAAGGCAGCAACCGATGGTCAACCGGCTGGAATGAATGCCAATTTACCAGCGACCAATTCAGGTCCACGACAGCCAAACAAAGCTACACCCACCGTATCTGGTACATCTGGTGAAAAGCCAACAATAGACCCACCTGCGAATTTTTCATCCAAACCTATACCCATTGTCAATGTACCCTCTCATCTCAACTCCACAGCGGGATCCAACCTGATTTCGAAATCTTCTTCAGCTCAACCTGCCATCAAAGTGGCCTTATCAAACAGGCCATCTAAACAACCTGATGAAGTCGCACCTCGCTTCAAAGCCTTTGTGACAGATGAAAAAGAAAGATTACAACAAAAGAAGAAGGATTTATTGAAGAAAGAAAAGGAATCTAGATTAGCCGAGTTTCGAGCGTTTAGTATGTCTTTTAAATTACCAATGGCAGTGCCAAAGGATTTAGAACCGATTATCAAGAAATCTGTTAATAGCACTTCGACTGGAGCTAACCCACAAGCTGTTTCAACAAACTCTAAGCCAACAGAACAAGATGATGCCGGTCGACGTGCTTCAGTAGTAGCGGCAAATGCTCAACTGAATCGAGCTCAACCGAACCCGAGAGTCAATATGTTACCATCTAACCTTCAAATCACTACCAATAGTCTCGGACAAGATCTTAAGCGAGTTTCCAACAATACCACATCCAAACCACCTATTTCGAATGCCGGCTTAAAGGCCATGGTCGCTTTGGCCGCAATACCTCCGTTCAAACCACGTAACCCTCCAAGTGATCCACATCGAAACGTGACGGGCCCTACTGGGATGTCTAAGAAGGGTGATCATCAGAAAGGCCCACCTCGGTTTGCTGTTATTCCACCGATTCCACCCTTCAAGCCAAAGGGAAGTCAACCCACCGGTTCAAACGATAATTCCAAACTGAGCACCAAGGCTGCTGCATTCAATCCGGCAGCCAAGACTTTTACACCTGTTTGTATCTTTTTTCATGATCGTCACAATTGACATGAATACAAATCGGTTTACTGACATTGTTGTTTTGTCTTTGATTATTAGGGACCGCCGGGTCAACCTGTTGGACCATCTTCTTCAAATCGAAAGCCCCTTCAACATGTAGATCCTAATATGGCAGGCTCAGTTACAAACCCATTCTTTGGGTCCAAACCGATCAAGAAAGGTTCATCATCCATGCACGTCAAAGAAGAGTTTACGCCTTTCAAATCTTCTAGTGTACCAGAAGCTTCACATGTGGGACCGGCTTGGAACTTTTCGGGTAAATCTTATCGACAGATGTTTGGACCTAATGCTCCACCACCCTTACCACCACAACCTCATCCGGTTCAACAAATCGTACCTCATATGATGCATCATCAACATCATCCTGCTGCTCAACAACAACAACAGCAACAACAACATCAACAACAGATTCATCATCATGCACCACATCAACAGCCTCAAGGCCCGTCCCACGCACATCATCATTCGCAAAGTGGACCACCTAACAACATGATGCCCGCACCCATCCCACCTCCTATGCATCTTCCACCACACGCTACTGGAGGACCTCCTCATCATCACCATAATCCGATTGGAATGCCAGAAGAAGAAGGCAACGGAGGCGGTCCAGGAGGAGGGATGGTCGTCACGATGGGATACGGACCTCCACTTCCTCCTCCGATCCCACCTTATCTATATCATCATCAACCACAACCACAACAACCTCAACCTCAATCACCTTATAACGGATCGTATCGTAATAATGGAGGGGCTAATAACGGAGGATTTGGTCCGCCTGTTCAAGGTTTTAATAATGGACCCAATAACGGAGCTTATTATGCTGGAAGTCCTAATGGAGGTAATAGTGCAAATGGATCACTTCCACCCCAACATTTCAGTCCACGTTGAGTTTTTTTTTCGGATTTGATTTATCATTCGATTCTCAACTGATTTGATTTGATTTGGATTTGATTTGGATGGATGGATGGAATAGATGGACCACCTGTGCCTGGTTTACCTCCTCCTCAACAACAGCCACCGCCACCTCCTCAACAAATGTATCAAGGACCTCCACCACCACATCATCAGATGTTTCAAGGAGGACATCCGGTTCCTCCAGGACCAGGACCTGGACCTGGAGGAAGAGGTGTACCGATGTATGCTTATGGACCTAGTTGAGTGGTTTTTTTTCTTGGAATTGATATATATATATGTAGATTTTTGACTGTTTGACTTGTTTTTTTTGGTTTAGATATGGGATTCGGACCACCTCCACCTGGATATGGAGGAACGAATGGTGGAGGGAATGGGAATACAGGAAGCTCAATGGTGGGTACGGCTAATGGACCTAATAATGGGAATCATGGAAATGGGAATGGGAATGGACAGTTTGATCAAGGAGGAGGAGGACCACCACCACCACCGCCAACTGCTCAGTAAGATGAGAGTGTGTTTGGTTTAGTGAGGTTCTGGATGGGCTTGATGAATACCATGACTAGCTTAATAAGACAATTATGGTTACTTTGACGATCGGAATGATTGTATTGATGATCACTAGAGGTGGTTGGAAAAAGTTTTGAGATGGATTGGAGATTGGTTGAAGATTGGTTGAAGATTGGTTGAGGTTTTTTTCTTTGGTAAGAAAATCAAATCAATGAAATTATGGAAAGTTATTATTTTTTATATGGTATGAAAGATATATTTTTTGTGTGTGTTTGTGTGCGTGTGCGTGAGAGAGAGAATGGAGAGAGAATGGAGAGAAAGAGAGAATGGAGAGAATTCAGGTTGTGATAAAGTGGGAAGATTAAAAACCTAGATTGAGATTGAGTGTAGTTATAGAAGAGTATGAGATGTTTTATGATAAAAGTGATCATTTTGAGATATGTTAGAGTGATTGGAGAGATTACAGAATTCAGTGATGGATGAATGTGATGGAGATGGTATGTAAGATGTCAGTAGAGTGTTACAGAAGTGTGAAATGTGAAGTATAAGAGTTTATTAATCAGTGTTGATGACCGTCTTTACTGAAATCCAAATTAGTGAAACAGACAGTATGAGTCAAGCTCAAGGACCCAATGAGAATGTTCTTCAAGAGATCAATCTAATCTCAACTATCATTCCAACTTCAACTTCAACTTCGATTCGTAGATCAACTCATTCTTCTTCAAGTAGAACTACTTCTCGTCATTCTTCTTCGGGTCCTCATTCTAGAACTTTATCTCAAGGTAAACTAAATTCAATCCAAACCATCAAACCATCAAACCATCACTAATGATTTTTGAACTAAACAAAAAGAACCATCCGAAGCATTATTTGCTGATCAATCTTCACCATCATACTGTACATTACCATTACCAAGCACATCATGCAACAAACAAGCGCCAAATGAAAAAGGGAATCAACTTGGAAAACCTGTGAATTTGGAATGGATCAATGATATGAAACAACGACATATCTTATTAAACAATCTTAAAAGAAATCAATTAATTGAAACTAATTCGACGACCAACAATTTGAAAACATCATCTGATCATCTTGAATTGATGGGAAAAGTGGTTGGAGATGATCCTGAGTTGGTTATGAAACTTTTGATGGCTCCTTTGGTGCCTCCTTTAGGTTTTGCTATGGTGAGTCCTGGGATTTATCGGTGAGTTGAGTTTTGTTAAAACTTGGTATTATCTGTTCAGGAGAATTTAACGTTTCTTTGCTTTCTCTGATTTTTGGTAGTTCTGGACATCCTAATTATAGGAATTTTGCTTTTTTGGAGGGGTTGAAACTTACTTCGATCATGTAAGTTTTCAACTCAATTATTTTAACTAACTCGAGATGGATTCATAGGTTTATTGATTTGATCAATTTTTGTGCTGGTTTAGGTATCTTTGTGCTGATAATTATAGACCACATACGTTTAATTGGGCACAAGATCGTGGATTGAAAATCTTTCATTACAGGTAACCCCAAAAACTGATAAAAAAAAGCAATCATCAAGATTTTTCTCAAGGTTTTCTGATCAAAACTTTCTTGGAGTTGAATTTGTATAGAATTGATTTATCAAAAGATCCCAATTCACCAATCACACCCCACTCGATCTACAGCGAAGCATTAACCGACATCTTAGACACCCGAAACCATCCGATCTTAATCCATTGTAACAAAGGCAAAAACCGAGTAGGAACAATCTGTGCCATCTTACGTAGGTATCAAGCATGGAACTTAGATTCTATTCAAGATGAATGGAATAAGTTTTTCGGTGAACTTGCTCCTCCTGGTAGGAATATGATTTGGAGTCCGGGTCCTTTGATCGATCATGGTTTGGAGGAGTCTAAGGCCAACGGGGGGAAGGGTCGGAAGAGTAAGGTCGATGTTAGTCAAGCTAGAATTAATGAATGGAATGTAAGTTTTTGGGTTGGTTTTTGATTTGGTTTGATTTTGATTCGATTCGTTTTGGGGTTTTGGGGTTTGTAGTATATTGAAGAATTTCCAATGGAAATCATTCAAGTGGATCCGAAATGGTTACCTGCTTGGTGATCATCTTTTTTTCATATATAAGATCTTAATTTTCTTTACAAAACTGAAGAAACAAACAAAAAAACAGGTTGATATAGTTGATGTATATTTATAGTAGTTCTCGTTCAACTTCAAGATGTACTCTTTTTCCTTTTTTCGATTTCTTTTTTTTTCGTATGTTGTACAATTGTCTCTTAATGAACGGTATTACTATTAGGATTTTTTGTTTTGATTATTGTGGGGTTTTTTTGAAATGGGATTTGAATTAGATTGTGATTACAGAAGTTGAAAATGACAGGATTGCAGGAAGAAATTTCTATAAGAAAACATGAGTTGATCGGGTTCAAGGATTTGATTTGATGAGTGCATGTAGAGGATTAAATTAATGACCAACGAATGTAAACGTTGAACCTTGGGGTTTTTCAAGATGGGTTTTTTTTCCTCAAGAGCCATTTCAAGGATGTAAATGTAAAAATTGAATACATATGTTATTAGACTACTTTAATCGATTTTAATGCTTATCAGATTCAGATTCAAACATCCATGTTGACGATTTTTTTGGGAAATGTTTTTAAACCCAGTCACTCACAAACTTAGATAAAAAGACTTGTTAGTTAGGTGTGGCAAAAAGTCCCTCGGTACTCAGACCAAGGGACGGTTAATTTCAATTCATCCCTAAACCTAACACCTCACGGGGTGGCCAGCGGACAACAATGTTATAAAGCTCACACTAGAATGAAAAGCTAAAATAACGAAACTTAACGCCTAATGAGGATAATAATAAACACTAAAATAACCATATCAACATATCTCCTAAAAAGACCAGTACTACCATCAAAGTAACTATAACTGAATAATCAAACATAAAATAAAACCATCAACCAAATAAGGGAGGAGAGGGTGGGTTGAAAAAATTTCTTAACTCTTCAGAAAGATCACTAGCTAAGAATTTGTGAGTGAGATGAGGGAAAGAAGTTGAATAGAAGAAACGGTAAAGAAGAGGAAAACGATTTATGACGTCAATCCAAAATCATCTTCTAATGTAAAAAAGATCCGACCCGTCGGAACATCATGTAATTACGGTACTCAAAGCAAGTATGTACGCGTACATACTTTTTGCTACATAGTTTTTTTGGCGGGGAAAACGAGTCCAAAAGTATATTCGTTTATTTTCCCCGCCAAAAAAAGGTATATACGACAACTATATACGTGTAACTATGTAGCTTTGAGTACCGTAAATGTAAAGTCCTGTTGTTTTAACATTCCTATCTGTTAATAACAAGTGACCAACTTCAATATGATATGTAAGTATGTAATTCGTTTGATTGTGCTATGTATTACTCTTTAACAGATTTGCAGTGAAGAACGAAGTGCATGTACTTTTTTTGAAGTAATTCATCTGGTGGGTTCAATAAAACTTTCTATAATCCCTTGTTGGATTTTGTTATCAAATCTTTCCTGTGATATCAAGTCAAAATTTGTAAAGGAGACAAGTTTAAGTCAAAAAAGGTCTTTATGACTCGGCATAGTAGCATCGAGTCATGGATCGTAATAGTAACTTGAAAGGCAAAGATGAACTCGATGAACACATCACACGATGTGTTCTCAACCGAGTGAACATGAGAAAATGATATCGTTTCAACATAGAACTCATAAAGTATGATGAAGAAGCTCGGACGTTTAACAAGGAAAGGGTTTTCTATCGAACTATTATTATTATTAAGAGCAATATGTAAGACTGGTGAAACTATTAAAAGATTAAATCGTATTAAAAAACTTGAAAAAAGAAACAAAATTATTAAAAAGATCAAGACGAGAAGAACACATAGGGTATGATGAAGAAACTCGGGCGTTTGACAAGGAAAGGGTTTTTCATCATTCTATTGATAAGAGCAATGTGTAAGACTCGTCAAACTATTGAAAGATTGAAACGTATTAAAAAACTTGAAAAAAGAAACAAAATTATTAAAAAGATCATGACGAGAAGAACACATAGGGTATGATGAAGAAACTCGGACGTTTGACAAGGAAAGGGTTTTTCATCATCCTATTAATAAGAGCAATGTGTAAGACTCGTCAAACTATTGAAAGATTGAAACGTATTAAAAAACTTGAAAAAAGAAACAAAATTATTAAAAAGATCATGACGAGAAGAACACATAGGGTATGATGAAGAAACTCGGACGTTTGACAAGGAAAGGGTTTTTCATCATCCTATTGATAAGAGCAATATGTAAGACTCGTCAAACTATCCAAAGATTGAAACGTATTAAAAAACTTGAAAAAAAAATTATTAAAAAGATCAAGACGAGAATTTTTAAACGAGATAAGTCATCAAAGAAGCATGAATAAGAGATTTAGCATATTCACAATATTCACTTTCTTCAGAACGAACCGATTGATGAAGTGGTTCTTTAAATTTTACTACTCTGTTTAACTTCTTCTCAGCTTCTGCGTTAGCTTTGATCCATTTGTTAACTGCATCTCCAAGTCGTTCTCCATGAGCTTTGATAAACCCGCGATGTTTTAATCGACGTGCTGAGATCATCGAACGGGTTTCGATATCGTTCTTGTCTGGTAAAGAGTCAGCTGAACGGAATTGTAAAAACGTTTCAAGAGAGAAAGCTTAGTTAATCTGTTACTACTTCATGGATCGAGTGAAGAAGATATGTATATAGTCAATTCAGAAAAGCTTGGCCATATTTTGCACGTCGCAAAACTCCAACAACTTATCGTGAAAACTTTGACAAGTCTGAATTGGCTAATGTATGTGCTAAAGAAGAAGAGGAAGAAGAAAAACCAAATCTCACCGTCTACGACCATCTTGCCTTTTCCCTTTGATTTCGTGAAATCTTGTTCTGATTGTTGTAGTTTACCCAATGCTTCAGCTTGAACTTGTTGTTTGACTATCTCTTGGTGTTCTCTGGCAGTCGAAAAGGTATGTCTTCTTGGTCTCTTGGTAGATCCGGTACCTATTTCAGAACCTATTGTGATCAAAGAGATCATCACTCTTTAGTATCTTTTCTAATGATCACTACACTTTAAGATGATCAAGTTAGAGATGGAAACGTACGGATTTGGTTCTCTGCAATCGGTTCGGCTCTGGTCTCTTGTCGAGTCTCTTGTCTAATCTCTTGTCTAATCTCTTGTCTAATCTCTTGTCTAATCTCTTGTCTAATCTCTTGTCTAGTCTCTTCTCTGGTATGTTCCATGCTGATGATCAAGGTCTCCACCGAATCGGAAGGGTCCTCTTGATCATCACGTGCTTCGGAAGCGACCAATGGGACGTAATGGACGTTGTGCACGTCGGATGATTTGGATGTCTATATTTGAAGCAAGCGGTAGGGAGGTTGGAAAGAGAGAACGCCAGGAGAGGAAAGAAAGTTGATAATCAAAACTGAACGTGTCCGAGATACTCACCGATGCCTTCTTTCCAAATGCAATCGGGAACAACTTCTTCAATTTACTTTTGAAGCTAGGAGTAGGTTCGACAGGAGCTGAGTTGATCATAGCTTCGAGATTGATCGTCGATAGCTTTGCTGATGGGGGCGTCGGTGCTTCTGGTTCTGGAGTGCGACGCTCTAGAGCCGAGCCATAGCTCTGAGGAGATAGAAAAGCGAGAGTGAATAAAGTGAAAAGATGATAGTAGGAAAGATGAAAGGATTGAACAGAACGAGGTGTTAGAAAAAGAAACAAGTACGCACTACATCGTCATCTTCGAAGTATGGGGTAACAAATCCTCGGATCAATGGATCCTCATGCTCGAAATAAGGGGTAAAGAATGCTCGCATGTAAGAGTTATTAAGAACGAGAGGATTAGGACGGTGAAAGGACTTCAGTGAATCAAGAAAGGTTAAGATCTAACAAGAATATGAAGTTGAGTTTTTAAAATGATGAGAAGGAAATGGGATACGAAGTGGAATGGACGTGGTAACTTGTAAGTCGTCAAGAAAAAAATCGAGAAGAAACTCGACTCAGTGCAGGTTTATATAGGGAAAGTTTTCCAATTTTTTCTCTTAAATATTTACAAGTTCATGAGTGTATTTGTTTAAGTCATTCGTACTGAACAATAATCAAAAGAGATGGTACATGATCAAACATATCTGATGATTTGTGATTTGCTGATGACTAGGATTAAGGTGTTAAAAGGGAAATGTGAAGAGTTTCTACTTGTATTGTTAATGATCCCGAAAATATAATACATGGTGCATATTGTTTACATCAACGCGTGGATTATGATGGATTTTCAGTACACGAATTTTGATATTCTGACCATTGAGAGATTGATCGAGGGAAAATTTTCCGCTTGAATCAGCTTACCCCCGTATCTTTGGTTTCCGTTACTTCATCTTTTCTACTGTTATTACAATCGTTTGCGCACTGTCTTTTCAGAATGACCAAGCGGATCAAGAGGCCTAGAATTCGAAAATTATTCTGATTTCCTCATTACTGCGTCTCAAAGGTAGATATCTTCCATCGACTCTTACATTAGTACCTGACCATCACGGAATCGCGATGTGAGATGTATACATCGACGCGTTGAATGTGATGGGATGTCACTCCATGCCTTCAGATATCTGGTCGTCAAACGTTGATCAAGGAGCGATTATTCGCTCTATCGAGCTGGGCTGCATTTCTTGTTATGATTTCCATCGGTATTCTTTTTATATCACTCGTGCTCGTCGTATCAATAACAAAGCAGAAGCGGTACGGAAGTGAGTATGTTTTTTTGCTTTGTCCGTCATCCGCACTATGTTGGCCTTCTTTATGGATCCCAAGATCATGTGGCAAGCGACATTCTCATATTTAAAGAGCGAACATGGTAAATACGCAGTCCACCTCTCCAATTATCTGGATGTTATGGATTAATCAAGGAGTGCCTTCGAAAGCAATTCCTCCTTCCATTTCGTTTCTTACTCACTGTATACTTTCTTGTTGGTCAGGCTCTATTGAGTCTTTAAAGAGATCGGTATACGAAGCCTTTATGATTCATGATCTGGCTTGACATCTTTCAAGATTTCTCTCAATCTTTACCATATCATATGAAGATCAAAAGTTTCAGAGTCTCTTTCAGTCATCTCGTCTTTTCGAGAGGCCATCGAGACCTGAAAATCCCTCGGAATACGCTAAAGGTTTCCTACATTCAGCGACTGAATCTGCCAGACCTGCAGTCATCGTCTGTACAGTCTCATCCCAATTTCTTCACGCTGCTGAGGACCATTCAAAGCTCATCTCCATATCTTCTCACAAGTATATCTGTAAGACAATCGATCGGGCAAGCTGCACCTAATAAACCCTCAGCACATCTTTATACTTCAGGGAATCGAGTCTCGACTCTCCGGTCTATGATGTGATCTCCAGCTACAACTCGAAAATGGAGATTTTGTCATTCCACTTATATTTTGGTATGAGGTGACTTGGATCTGGACTGAAGGTCCAATAATACCTATAGCCAATGTAGAACTCTCATATTGATCTTGTTCATAGACGCCTCACAAATCATTTGTCACTCTTCAGGAAAGATAGGCATAAAGTCCAAAGCCTTCACAGTCTACGTTAGTTATCTCGCGCTGCGTGGAAGCAATCGCGACGCGGGAATTAGGCGCACTGTCCTATATTTCACATCTCTGCAGGCGTCTAGGTGGTCATATGCATTCTCATCAATGAGATTGGTCGCTCAAACTTTCGAGCGTCATTCAAAGTACACATCGCCAGGAAGATATATTTCATCGACAACATCTCTACAAGATGATTCACGCCCGAGAACCGCTGTTTATATCTTTAGTTGATCATTTCGAGTTGTACTGAGGTTATAAGGGCTTGATACGATCTACCAGGATCTAGCGCTTCAAGTTGAAGACCCCAACTGGCCATTTCATCCGCTCCGTGGGACGCGACAAACGAACAGCACCTTGGTTGATGTGGCTAGCCTCTCCGGATGTGGTATGTATGCGTCTATAGCACAAAGCACGCGTCATCCTTTTCAGCGCTCGATAAGTGCCAAATCAATTCAGCCGACGGGGAGCTTTCAACAAACATGACTTTGTGATGTGGAGGCATGATCCCAAGCATTATCATACGCCCTGTCGTGGTGCGAAGTGAGATTGAGGCATCGTGTTGTAGATAGGTAGTCTTTTACTTGTTAACTTCCTACTGGATTCCATTCCCATTCTAGGTGATACGATCACGACTGTCTCGCGGCCTTGGAACCTCAAGCGGCACATAAAAGTGTTACACATCAAGGCTCAATCACAGACATTCGTGTTAAGATTTCGAGATATAAATTTTAAAGATGAGATTGTGGATCGATGAGTTTATGCGATAAATCTAATAAAACCCAGTCGATCTCCTTCAATCAAAGACTGCTGAGTCAGCGTGACTATCAGCGTGACTAATATTTGAGAGTATTGCCGAGCCGAACAGTTTATGACGTCTGTAATCAACCCATAATCAACCCACAACTTTCAATTTCTTGCTTCTCAGCGCGAACTCGATTAGTCAGCAATCTTTCACAATCAAATGACGCCCATCACCTCTTGAAATACCACACTCGGCCTCTGGTTGAACAGGCCAGAACGTGCGTTGTATGTTTGACTTTACATCTCAATCAATACAGGTCACACAGATGGCCTATCATTAGCCTGATTCGCATAGAACAATGGAACACGCTGGTCGTTAGGATTTCCCTCCAAAAGTAAAGGAAAGCCTGAAGGATATTGAAGAGATAAGAAGTGATCTAATCGATGAAAGTCAAGAAATCATAGGATCAGTTGATGGGTTTTATCATATGAGATTCAAGTTTTTTTGGTATATTGTGAGTTTATTTCATTTCATCTTTTGTTAATGGTAGGGAATGTCAAGCAAGATGGAATAAAGGTTTTTTCTCTTGGATTGGAGATAGTTCAAATTTGTTAACTGAGTGTTTTATTTAGGATTGCATGTAAGGCTTTATTTTGGATGATTGTTTTTTGTTTTTCTTTTCTTTATGGTATAACTGGTTTGTATACAAATTGGTGAAGGGAAAAGGAGATGGATCTTAGACAGCTTGTTTTCTTGAAATGTGTGTGAATATGTGTTGTGATTTTTTTATTCTTGATTGGGTTTATTCTTTGAAAGAATATTTATGTTTTCTATGACTTGGAATTTAAGAAAGATGATACATGGGTGACTATGGACCAATAAGTTTTCTTAAATACACTGAGGACGCTTTCACTTAAGGAATATCTGACCAGAATTCACATTGCAAAAATGGAACATGCACCACCAAATAGACACTTTAAATTTTGCAGAATGTGATTTCTCACCAGAAATTGCTTAAGTGAACACACCCTCAGTGTTCAGAGTAATCCAAGATCTGACAGATTGGGGAAACTTTCTAGGATCAGTTGAAGGGAAGTTATGACAATTGAAAAAGGTACAGGCTTCCCAAATAATACCTAGACTTTCAAGATAAATAAAATTTGGTTGTAAACATCAAAAGATTAGACATCTCTACCATCTGTCACCATGTCGGTATCCTTGTAGCACGTCGACGTGCACACACGGAGAGTTTTGAAAAAAAACAGAAAGCTGTTTGGTAGGCTTTAGTCTGAGATCGGTGCCGAGCACCCTTTGTGAATGACAATTTGACAAAAGAATTTGTGGGATCCTTTGTCAGCAGTTGGGGTCAACTGAGTGCCAACGTCCCAGTTGACAAAGGGAAGACATGCCTATTGTGGAGACCTCTTTAATGTGTCTTTCAAGTATGTATTGAAAGTATTTGGTGTGTGCACGTGGACGTGCTACACGGATACGGACACGGTGTGTGTTGAGGGACAGATAAGTCCAAGCATTACAGATCAAGGTTCCAAAAAAGGTTCTACACAATTATAGGCAACAAAGGCCTGTGGCTTCAATGAGCTGAAAGAAATGCATATAAGGTTGTTCAGCACCGCCGGCATATTATCCTTGGATTTGAGTATCCGAGTTAACAGCGGGTATGTGTGTCCGAGGAAACATCAGCTAAGTGTGGGTTGAGGTAAATATCCGATGTAACAGTGGACAAATATGCGTGAGGATATCTCAGGCATTCTGGTACCGAGGAAATCATTTACGGGATACAAAGTACAAGCCCGGGCACATCTGCAACTTTGAATCCTTGGTCAGCCAGAAAACGTGGAAAACAGCAACCGTGTCTTGAATTTTTGAAAAAGAGAACTCAAAGTTTCCTCAAATCTAAAGGAATGGAACATGGCCCGGCAGTTCTTGCAACTACCAAACTGTTATCACAACTACTTGAAGACCATACATCAACTAAGCTTGATATTTTTCTTGCTCTCTGTTGGAGCGTTGCAGTCAATTCAAGTAAAATAAAACAAAATGATCAAAAAAAACAATCAAAAGCAAAACAAGACAAAATTGACAACAATATAACAAGATCAGTTTGAAGAAAATTAACAAAACAATCAAAAAAACAATCAAAAACTAGTGCACAATAGAGAACAATAAAAAGATACATTTGAGAAAAAAATCAAAGAAAACAATTGAAACCAATCAAAACCGATTGAAAACTAAAAGTAAAAATCAAAACCAAAAATCTATTAAGCAGGAGGAATTGATGACATTGTAGTATAGATCTTCAGAGTACGCGATGAAGTTACACAGTGTGAAGGGATGGAAATGGGTTTTGGGTGTCTGGGCAGAGAACTGGACATTGAGCTTGGGAATTTGTTTTTGCCCAGATTTCAGCTTGTGTTTGGAAATCTGGACTTCTGGGCACGTGCCCGGGCTTGTACTTTGTATCCTGTAATTGCTCCAAGTTAAACTCAGCTGGACATGATCAATGATATATACCATTGGACAAATGTTCTCCGAGTCAATATCGTGGATTGACTTGGAGGGTCCTTTCTGAGTTTAATGTGGTAAGACTCAGCCAAGCTAACATATAGGCAGACCATATAGCCCAATGAAATTGTATCATCTGTGGCTCTTGTCCAAGTTTAATAAAGCTCGGTCAAATGGGTTCAAGGAAATATCAAGTGAGCAAAATACAAGGATAAGGAAAGCCTTGGACCTTGCGGACCAAGGTTTCCTTGTGATTGGTAAATTAAAAGTCAAAAATTAAAACCTTGAGCTTAAAACTTGTAAGCTAAGACCTATGAGTTAAAACTCAAAAATCAAAACCTAGAAATTAAAACTCAAAAATTGAGACATATAATTATAAGTCAGAAATTAAAATTTACCACTGAAAAGTCAGAAACTAGACATCACAAATTAAAACACAAAAATCCAAAACTAAAACTTTGCCTCCGACCTCAACTTGGACTTGAACTTCTTTGACCTCAACCTGCACTTTGACCTGCACCATCCTGCACCTCCACTTTGACTTCGACCTGGTGCACTTCCACCTTCACTTTGACTTCAACCTCCCCTCTGACTTCCACCTCCACTTCAACTTTGACCTCCAATCCAACTTCAACCTTTACCTTGACTTCCACCTCCAAAACTCGAGCCCGCAGTTGACTACATAAATCACAACATCATGTAGCTGATGTGGACAATTCATGAATTGAATTGGCGGATCAAGTAGACAAAGCGGATGAAGATACTAAAATCAATGAATTCAAACCATTAGAAGTCAATGAATTTACTAGTGCTCAACAGAGGATGAGTGTAGTTGTGCAAAGATTGGATTCATCGGATGCTGAATTGAAATGTGCTGACATCAAGGTTTGGGTGGCTACCAGTGATAAGTTGGAAACTGCTGTTGGTAAGTTGCAATGAATTGTTTTGACCGTTTGTTAGTAAACTAATAGGACTTTTGATATCTGTGCTATCCTAGCTATTGCTCAAGCATTATAGTATTTAAAGCTCAACAAGAGCTTTACAACACCTAAGAAGGGATAATCTACTACGTGTAATATAGTAGAAGTTGCCTAAAGACTGCCTTCTTCAAAGAAACCAGCACAAGGGCACTTGCTGACCACTTTGTGATAACAGAGAAATAGATAAGGCACCAGAGAAATAAAGCAATACTGTTGTTAAGTATTATTCCCAGATTTTAAGCGCAAAAAAAGTCACACACTATGTTTATTACTAGCAATACTGTTGTAAGTATTATTCCCAATTAGACTTGTAGTCTTTAACACACGTAAATAAATTTCTCCTTGCTTTGAAGGGGCAGATTTAAGTGATCTTAGTACAAATATAGTAAATAAATGATGATTTATAACACTACAACAAAGGTATAAGATGCCGAAAAGGGCGCTACAATCCCAAAATCATCAAGGAGTACTTATATCCACATGTAACAATCTTTACAACAGTCAACAGCCTCAAAAACCAATCAAATCTGCCTAAATAACCCTAAAAACCATGTAATGACGCAATGTAATGATCTTGTTACTAATGTATGATGTAATTTTCACAGCCAAAAGTGATCAATGACGCAATGATGTAATGTACAGCACTTCTTAAGATGAATACAGGTGATTTTTTCCTTGTAAACTAGCTGAAACCCAATTTTTGAGATTACGAATTTTTTCAGATGTGCTCCAATTTTTGATTACTAAAGTGCATCATGTAGCCCACGTGTTACTGATCATTTCTGACACCTATAAGACCTACTTCTGATGAGTGATGAGTAAGATATTGAGTTGTGAAGTTAAGGTTTTTGGTGTTACATGTGTCTTGTGACTGTAAATTTGAGATTCACACCAATTTCTTATTTCCCTTATAACTTTTTACATACACCTCCGTTACTAATGATTCAAAGGTTGTACATTATGTAATCCACTCGTCTGCGTTGAATGAGCCATCTACCAACTTATTCTGACGTCATTTGACATATGTAATTAGCTGAAAACCTCCATTTTCGACGATTTTCACCTATTTTCTTCACTTTTCACAGCTGCTACTCTCTTTTCCTTGCTCATGTAATATGACATCATCTTCTATAACCTTAAAAATCCCGGAAAATCCTCTTGGCAACCTTAATTTCTACTACTACCACCATTACATATGTAAACTACACGCCTAACCCTTGTTTACCAACTTCGAAAAAGTACCTTTCTGCTAATAACTTCTGTTTCCCCTTATCAACCTTGAATATTAAAGTTGTTCCTGTATAATAAACTGTTGTTCTTTCATATTCTAACCTTATAAAACCCATAACTTAATTATAAATAAGCTAAAAACCATTTTCCAACCTTTACACCTATATTTTCGAATTTTTCTTATCTTTTCTTTTTCTGTCTTTTTGTAATAACTTTGTAAGTAAACTATGTTGATCTTAATAATGATTTTGAAATAAGATGACATAACAATGAGCTAATAAGTATACATAAGCCTCTAAGAGCTTCAATTGATCTGAAAACCTGAATTTTGAATTCTCTGCTATATTGAAGTTTGTTAATAAACTGGTAAAGTAAAGATGATTAATTTTTTTGCTTAATATCATAAATAGATCACCACAGCGTGCAATCCAATTGCAAAAGATATGAACTTGATTGTGATCTGAGGTGGCGCTTATGGAACAAGAAAAGCTGTAGTCAATTTCATTGATGCTGATGAGTTGGTTGAGAACCTGAAAGAAATGTCACCAGGTTATGTTGTCAATTCAGAGCGACAACCTTTGAGGTTTTCAACTCACTCTGAAGCACAACCAGGGGTTGATCCAATCAATCTAGACAATATTGTTGGTGAAGATAACAGCAATCATGAAGGTGGATATGGGCTTGTTATTGATGGTGCATCTTTACATCATCTGCACTGTTCTACTGATGGTTTGCTTGCTTTCTTCTCCAGCTTCGGACCGGTTGAATTGAGTGATCCCATGCTAAGTGATCTCGATGTGACTCAGTGGGTTACTTTTGATAGAGTGATAGGGCTATCTGAGAAATGTGAATTCTCACGCAAAGAGGTGGAGTACCTAGGATTGATTATATCTCAGAATAGTATACGGATGGATCCCACCAAAGTGAAGGCTGTATCTGACTGGCCAGCACCGCAGAACATCACCAAACTGCAACGTTTTATAGGGCTTGCAAACCTTCATCGCCGCTTCATCAATCAATTTTTAAAGATGACACGACCTCTCCATAACCTTACAAGGAATAAAACTCCTTACGTGTGGTACAAGAGGTGTAACAAAGCACTCAAAGGACTGAAAGCGGTGTTTACATTGGCCCCAATTTTGAAGATCACTGACCACTACAAGCCATTTGTATTGGAGTGCAACTGTTCTGACTTCGCCCTAGGCGCGGTATTGTCTCAACGCTGCGAAGACAACAACAAATTACAGCCGGTCCTTTAAACCTTGGACGGTTGATTTTTGTTTCTGGCTTTTTGTATGTTTGTTTTTTGCTTTTGTAAATTTGAAAAATACTTCAAAATCACTTTAAAGCACTGATTTTTTTTTGATAAATCATCTGTGAGCATCTGAATGTATATCTGTCAAAAAAAATAATTTTTATACACAATATATCCATCTTCTGACTTCTCCTTGCTCAGCTTTTAGTTTACTCATATGTGATTGATGCTCTTACTCTTGCTTAAGTGTTGTTCTCATCAATTTGTTTGTTTACTTTATTAACACTCATGGTTCTCATTCTTATGTATTTCTCTTTTTGTTTTGTTGGGTAATCTTTTTTGTCAACCTTCCTTCCTAAGACGAACAGTCTTTATTTAGGTCTTTGCCTTAATCAGGCTCTGACCTGGTGTGGGGGGGCGTAAGCCCGGGGACTGCCTGTCCGAGAAGGGGTTTTCTACCTCCCAATCTCTGGACAGTTGGCGTCCTGAGCCCGTCAAAAACCCATCTACGACATCAGTCCAGATAAAGTTTCCGGTTCGCATGGTGATTATACTGTATGTTGTTGCATGGATCTGCAATTGAATTCTCTTCTAAACTTAATATTTACTGTACGCCCCAAACACTTGTATAAACCCCCAGCACCCTTTCCAAGAATCTCTAGTTTTACACACTTTGCCCTCTCTCCCATCGACTCCTCCCTTTCGCTCTCTTAAACTCGACCTGGAGAGGGATTTGTTAGCTCTTTCTCATTCTTTTTATCCTGATCCAACTACTCACTTTTGTTTCACTTTTTCTGTTCTTCATCAAATGCCAATAAATCCCACAGTTCTTTTGCTTCTTTTTTCTCCTCCTTGCTATACTTTCTCAGGTAAAGCTGATACGCTTTTGACTGCCACCTTCCTATCGTTACAATCTGTTCTAAAGGCCTTTTTTCGTTCCATCTGAAAGTCGCTCCTCCGACTCTAAAGGAGTGACCTGATAGCTTTGAACCCCCTTCGTTTGATTTCCAAATTCTCTTATATATCCCTATCAACTTTGCTTTCAATATGACACTCCTTTGTCCATTTTCTAAATAGGAAAATAGGGGGTCCTTCGGACCTGTCTGATTATCTCTTACCATTCTCCACAACGCTGACGTAGCATCAAGATAGGATTGTTGTTCTTTTAACTTGATATATTGTATCTGGCCTGGTTGTGCTGTTTTTGCGTTATGTAAGGCGATTGAGACTTTCTTTCCTTGTCCTGTTACTTGTAAGTCTCTAAACTGAATCAACTTCTTTTTCTTATCGTCTGACACTAATTCTCCTAAACGTGCCATTCCCCAGAAAGCTACCAGCGCTATTGTCAGCGCAACTTGATCTCTCTTGCTTCCATTTGATAGTTTCTTTAGCAGCTGGACAAGGTGCTTCAACATTACCGGCTCTTTCCTTTCCTTTTCCAACACTCTGATCACCGCCTCTGCCATCTTTGATGATTTTAACAAGATCAAAAGTTTCAAGGGATCATACTTAGGATATTCCTCATCGTGAAATAAATGCCAACACTTTATTCCTGTAAGATACTTTTTCAATGTCTCCACCTCGATCGTCATGTTCTGATTGTTCTTTTCTGTCTTCTGATCTCCTTCTAGCTTCTTTCCTGCCCAAACTACAAACTCATATAATACATTTAACAACATAGGTAACAATTGTTTCCTACCATATTCTTTTTCTTGCGCGAATTTTAATAATTTTGATACACCGCTATTATAATTGATAAGCATCAATTCCGCCCATCCTCCTGATAACATGTGAGTTTGAATACAATTTTCTTTCCATTTAATCTCTCCTCTTGCGTTTTGTAAGAATAACTTAATTTTCTGTTCCGTCTTCGCTGAAATCATGCTTCCACTAATAACAATTTTAGATCGTCTGGTAATTCAATCTTCACCCTTTCTCCGACTTGATCTTCCTCCTCCAGGCCTCTCAATAAGCCGTCTGCCTCGTTATCTCCCGACTCGACTCGTTCTTCCGTTATATCACACTGTAGGCGTAAGAGTAAGGACTGAATCTTCTTCCACTCTTCATTCACTTGCTCACTTTTTGACCTTTGTTTATTGATTGTAGACTCTGTGGTTGTGTTATCAGTCTTGACCCAGAAATTCCGTCCTCTCATATCGGTCGAGACTTCTAACAACAGCAAACCTAATCTTATCGCTGCCGTTTTGGCCCATGCGATGTCACGAAATGTCTCATCATCTTTCAATCCGGTCGTCGGCCAACCTTCTTTCAATTTGAATCTCACCCATCCAAGATTTGTCACCACTCCCAAACCAAATCCGCTTGCATCACCTACCCATCCGATTCTCTCTGGTTCTACCGCTGGGATGATGCGCCTTGGTTCAAATGTTGTCAACGCCTCCTTCCAACTTTGTAAATCGCACCTCGCTGCCCTTGACAAGAACCGTTTGGCGTTTGTTTTTTGCCACGGGTTGAGCCACGCGTACAAACCTCTCATGTACGGCTTCATATGGGGCACTATGTACATTAGATGCGCGATCTTCCCAATAATTGAATCTGCTTCTTTTAATCCCCAAGGTCCGTCTCCTAACATCTTCTCTACCACTTCCAATCTTTCCGCTAATTTTTCCTCCGGCAGCCGCACCGTTTTGTCTTGTCCGTTGAAGATAAACCCCCAATACTTTTGCTCATCACTAAATTCTCTGAGTTTCTCCTGATTTGTCTTCACGCCCATCTCCGTACTCAATTTCACTACGTCCTTGATCATCAGCTTATCACCCTCGACTTTCACGATCATATTATCATCGACCCA